GCCTTCATACAACTTTGATAGATAATTTTAAAATATTATTTATAAATTTAATACATAATTTATAATTTAATCAATAGGTTTATTGCGTATACCATAAATATGTTAAATCTCTTGGATATTTCCTCGGAATGGTGAAGCGTCACGCGATTTTACGATTACCAAGAACTTAACGACTTCTGCTGCCTACTCATTATATCGACAAGGGTTGTTTAAACTGCCTTACCAGTTACCACTGAAAATTTCAAAAACAACGAGATTTATTTACAGAGATCGCGAATCTAGAATTTTTACGCTACTGTATTTATTTCTGTATCCAACTCGTGTAAGTGTTAGGACTCATTTTATTAGTAACTAGCTGTACCTATTAGTATTTATAGACAGTATTTAACTAGCTGTGTCAGCGACTTTGTCCGGGTAGAATAGTTATTTTGGCCATCCAAATTTAATTGTGCAAAACTCCTATTCGTCTTTGTAAATTTTAGTTCGCGACTTGTCGTACAGGTCCCGTCGGTCTTGCGAGTTAATCTTAATATAGTATAGCGAAATTTCTTTTAATTATCTAGAAATAGATATATATATAATAGATTTTATCCACATTTCCCTCTTTTCTTCGCTCCCATTAGTCACAGCGCAATGTTTTATAGCCTTCCTCGATAAATGCTCTAACCAACTTATGATTCCTTTTTTAAAGGATGTGAAAAAATCCAATCGATCAAGTCTTTACCTTAATTTAACTTCATCAAATAGACAACTTGCAACATCTGTGAAAGGAAAACAATAAAGTATATAAACTGTCTATAGTTTACGCGAGTAGTACACATTTAAATAAAACACTTTAACGGTTTAAAACGCGATATATTAGTTAAACATCTTTGGAAATGATTTTTAACTTCGGCCCGACGTCTCCCCGTGACCACGGCTGCTGCAAAGCATCCGGAACGTCGGCCCGAAGTTAAAAATCATTTCCAAATATGTTTAACTAATATATCGCGTTTTAAACCGTTAAAGTGTTTTATTTAAATAAAGTTTAAAGTATATTATGTAGCTTTATATTTTATCGATAAACTTCACTGCATATCCTATTCATTGTCGATACGATTCTGAGTGTTAGGGTATTGACAGGTTCGGAACCGAGTTCCCATGACAATAGCTGCTTCAACTGAAAGCTTTTTATGTAGAGTACGACTATTTATCTATATTTGCGCTATAAATAAAACACTTTTAACGGAATGAAATGCGGAATATATTAGTTATAACTTTTTTAATTATTCATCATTTAACCAATTGTTTATCGTAGTATTCGAGATATTTATTATCTTATAATTTTATGCATTTGTGCTGACATTACTAAATCTAAAACATGTCTAATTAATACACTTTTAACGGGTTAAAACGCGAAATGTATTCGTTAACTTATTTTAATTTTTAGTCTCCCTGTAACCACAGCTGCTGCAAAGCATGCAAACGTGGACTCTCACTTAAAATACATAACTGTAAATAAGTTAACTTCGCGTTTTAAATCATCACAAGTGTTTTATTTCAATTCTTATTTTATTTTATTTATTCGGCTGAAGGGCGACTTTTAAAACATAAGTTTACTTCTTTTGTTTTCGGTCCATTTGCAAGTCATGCCAAACTGAAATAAGATTGTGGACTAATTTTAACTACGATCCAAAGTTTGGGATTGTCCCGTAATAAAACCGTTACAACGAGACTAATATTAATAAGTTAACTAATAAATTAACAGCTTTGTTGTGTAATACTAACGTAAACTACAGACTTAAGAAAAAGTAAGCAAAACAGAACCAAGAAGAAGATAGTTTAGGGGGAACGTTATTCTATAGAACAACACGTTTTATAGACACTGTTTATGTAGCTAACAGCACCGCAAAGCTCTATCGAGGTTTTAAAAACATTTACACTTTGGTTTCGTCTGTTTGGTACGCCCAGGGCAACGACCGCAGGATTTTTAATAAAGAAAGCGCTCTTCAATTTCTTAGGTATTATGTTTCACTTAGTTTTTATTCGCTTTGCACTTGTTAGAGTTTTTAAAAGAGATTTTTAACATTTCAAGATCCTAATATTCATTTTGTAAGCTTGCATTTTGTCTGTAGTGTATGTTTGTCTACTAACGGTTTGTGATTAATGTAGAACATCCAAAATGTTGAGTGGTAACTAAAAATAAATTAAGTAATAGGTACATCTTTTATTTAAAATAGTTATATATTTAACTTCGTTTCCATGAAGTGTTTAAAGTAGGAAGACATTTTGTGTGTATGAACTGATGAAGTTTAACTAGTAAATACAACGTTAAATAAACCACTGTTTTAAGTTTAAAGGTTTTAAACGAAAATTGTATTAGTTAAATTTATCTACAAGTTGTTTTAATTACCCGTCTATATAGTCTCCCTGAAAAGGCTATTGCAAAGCATTCGAAACGTCGGGCAAGTAGTTCAGGTATTCTATTTCAGTTTAATTTTACAAAAAGTATCGACACTCTATAGCTAGTTATCATGTGTTCGTAATTGTTGTAATGTAAAGTCATGCACTGAACAGAAATTACAGGTCATCAATCATTGTTCAAGATTCATCAATTCTCCCTTAATTAACTCTACTGCTATTTACATAATATGATGTTATTAAACGCGTTGCTATGGTAACGAATTGCGGTACAACCAAATAACACTTTGTGTCTAGATATTGCCATATGTGTTTCTATCGTATATACGTGTATATTATAGATGACAGAAAGACATGAGGTTCACTGAAATGGAAGGTGGAATTCCTTGGTCTGAAATATTCTCGTAAAAGATGGCTGTTTCGCCCATACATTTCTACTGTTGGACCAACAAGTCTATTAAATGTTTTTACGTCTTTTAACACCTTTTTAATGGAATTAATATTATATAGTATTTGGAAGCATCAGAAAATTTTATAATTACCAAGATTAGTAAGTTATTTTTAATTCAATAAGTAATTGGGGAAGTTTTTTTGCTCTACTAGGCTATAGGCTTTACTCACAACTTTCTTAAGTCCTCAAATTTCTTTCGGAATTGCGTTTACCTAGAAATAATGATTTTTAGATTGTACTTTTACGATACTTAAATGAGTTTCTTTCCAACTTTAGGACTAAGTAACTAAAAGTAATTTTTATTTGCGATTTCGTCTAAGCTTTTATAGAACCTTTTTTGTATTCGCCTGTAGGATAATAATACCATTCGATTAATCGTTCAACATTTCAAATCTAACATAGGTAATATGTATAGCGCATAGTTCGTTTTTAATGGATTAAAACTGTTCTACAATTTGTACAATAGCTTCGCAGTTATCTGTTGTTTACAGACATACGGAATGCATTAGACAAAGTGATTTTAATTATTATAATGGGAGCTGCTCCCTTTTATCGCAAATAAAGAAAAGCTTATGTACGAATATCGAAATTTCAATAGCAACAATAGATTTTTAACAGTTTTCAAAACTGGTGGCAGAATTCATATTTTTGAGGTATTATTACAAAATAAAAACTGCTCGTCCCAGTGTAATTCGGACAGCTAAAGAGAACACACGTTTTACGCTTCTCTGTGCGTACCTTTAAAACTTATTTATTATTTTGTCTGTATTTTACTAATATCTTCGTCGACAACGCTCTGACAGCGGGTCAACACGCAACGTTCTAACAAGACCGAGTGACCATTTGAAGGTTAAGGCAAGCGATATATAATTATGTAATGTTAAAAATGTACAGTTTTGTTTTTCACGTAATAAAGTTTTACAAAGATTTGAAATACGACCTTTTTTAAATGCATTTCATCGCCTTGCCTGGAAACTGCTTTTTATTATTTAAGTTTTTACGCATATACTTTCTTTTAAATAAGTTTAGGTATTTTTTATTTTTTAAATCTCAGTCACACAGCTTTACAAAACAATTATACCAACATGACAGTGAGTTATAATACATTTAACGCGATTAATAGGTCGTATGATATTATATAGTACGAAATTATACTTTATAAATTCGCTATGTGTTATTTGAAAATATCTATTTTACAATTTACATTATATTACAACTAACTATTCACACTATTTAATGCATTACAGTAGTTTAAATAGTGTAATACATTTCGACATAGTTATTTCATTGATAAATAAAGGAAAGGCTAAATATTTCCCGCATAGATAACTATTAATTATAAAATAGCTATAAAATAAGTAATAATAACAGTTGTATCTTGTAACATGAATATTGCCCTAGCTGTTCTATTAATCTTCGCCTAATTATAAAAATCATGCAATTCACCAATCAAAAATAGTTTGTACAACAAAATTATACCATTAGGCGTCTGGTAAAACGATAATGACTATGTTTAAAATGGTTGCCCTGGATAGTTTTACGGTTTCAACTAAACTAGTATTTAAAATGCACATGCACAATGCGGTTGTCGACGTCATTTACTTGCAGTTATATTTTTGATGCTATTGCGCCTGCACGAATCGTAAAGGAATGCAAGGATACGCAAAGCTATTGTTGTTATTGTATCGCGTTTATGATGCTCGTGAAAACGGTATCGGCTTTTATGCTTTCGATACTTGAGTGTGTTTTTAATTGTGTGTGATCGAAACAATATCGCTATTATGGTAAGCTGCTGTCGCCTCCATCAAAATGTAAGGGAAATAAATTGTTTTTTATAATTTAAACATTAAACAGCTCTTAGTAAATCTTTGTGTGCGACAGGAGTCAAACAATGTTATCTGTGCGCTCAGCTACTTCATTTTTGACAGAAGTTATATGTCAATGACATTGACAATTGTATATATTAAAAATGCAAACATAAACAAACTGCACATGAACTAACAACTATCAATTATTTTTTACTTAATGATTTCTTAACTTGACTATGAGTTTAATTTAACTATGAATTTTTATATTTCAATTAGCTTTAGTTTTACCTGCTGAATGTTTTTACCATTTTCTTATATACATAAGCTTATACTTTTTTAACATGTACAAGAAGTTTTTACAAACTTTAAAGGTCAACTTTGTTTTTTGTTATCTTTTGTTCTAATTAATAAACAAAGACGTTAACCATGCATATTTCTATTGTTTTAGACCGTTCTTGAATCGGGGAGTGTGGGGAACGCGTCGTCATCTGATGAAGAGTTGGAGCAGTGGGAACAAATATTCATGATGAGAGATGAAAATGGGAACAGCTATCATGATAAGTAAGGCTTCTGTGAAGTGTCTTTACAAAATCTCATCAATTTTACTGATGTGAAGTGTCTATTCTAGCAACTTTTAATTATTGAGTACTTTTACTGAAATTTCTTCTTTCTTATTCCCTTTTTGCTTTTTAAAATAACTTCCTAAGTATTTTATCACTTTATAAAAGGAAGTTATTTCTATAAGATTTTCTTTTTAGGAGAAAGAAAAGAAGTATATGGTGCCGACCATCCTGCATTCCAGTTTCTATAGTCATACTGCTAATAGTTCTAGTTGTTCTAGTCCCACTGCTGGACCAACCCAACATTGCCCATGTCTTACCCGCAGCCCGGGATTTACATTGCTCAGATGAGTGTAGGTAAGATATATGTAAAAAAAGTCTATTGACCGATGAGACAGACCGATTAAACATATTTAATATTAAATCCAGTAAGACAGTCTATTGTATCAGTCATATCTGTTCTGCTATTTATTTTTTCATTTTCTAAAGTGTTACTTTGATACAAGAAACAAGTCATTGTTAAGTTTTACTGAGTAAAATATTAAAGTGATAAAATGGATCGTTGTTGAAAATAGTAATTGTCGACTCATAGTTCAGATCTATTATAATTATTCTAAGATGTGATGTCCATTACCATATTATTAGAAAAATTACCCCTTTAATATTGTTGCAGGTTATCTCTGGTAGAGAGTATACCTGAAGGCCATATGTATCCGCCTAACTCAACGCATGCCAACACTAAAAACGTCTGGCTAGATTTGATAGACGAAGCTCAAACCTCTATAGAAATAGCGTCTTTGTATTGGACACTTAGGTTTAATGAAGATTATCCATATAATTCCTCTATTGAGGTAAGTTTTCAGTATTATGCAAGCCTTATTCTCACAAGTTAATTACACATTGTTTTGAAATTAAATTTTCAAAGATATAAGAAAAAGCTTTAGTTTCAATTGTAAACATTGATTTTTTGTTGTGACTAATGAGTATTTTAGAATGTGTGTAAATGATGGTTAAATGTCCTAGGGTGAACAAGTTTTCCAGTCCCTTCTCGCAGCTGGATTGAAGAGGAATATAAAATTGAAAATTGCTCAAAACTGGCCTTCAAAATCATTCCCTAATACAGACACTGAATATTTAGTTAAGAAAAAGGCAGCACAAGTAAGTTATTATTCAAAACAATCTTTTAGTATATCATATCTTAGTCCTTTATTGTCCGAAGGAAATTTTTGTAACAATGCAGATCTTGCTTTCAAAACACCCCATATTCTAAACATACTAATTATTTTATCTTACAAATTTAATATTTTATTATGTCTATCATATGAGGGAAAAAGTCACAAAAAAAAAACGACTTCAAACACAGGGTAGTACACCAAAATGACCTCGACTTCATTATCTGATCATCAGATAGCTAATGAGAGTAACAAGCCATCTAAGTGTAAAGATCTTCACAAGACAAAAAATTTAAGCTTAAACACAAGTTAGATGCGAATAATTGAGGGAGTTCTTTCGATTATCTTTCTGCTCCATCGTCAGATCTACTCCAAACCTTTATTTAATTGTAGTTCATTCAGTACTGAATGAAAACACAAAGGTCAATCATACGTTTTTTTATTTTCCCTTCGATTTGTCTTGTTTTGTTATCCTTAATTTCCTTAAAATTGAACTAATTTGGATTCATCTACTTAAAAAATAAAAGAATCATTAACATCCCTCAAAAAGGATGAAGTAATGCGCGAGCAAACAAAAGAAAGTACATGTACGAACCGAATTGGAGAACCTGCATTTTTCAAGTTGATTGGCTTTCTTATTCTGTTTCTATTTCTTAAATATTATTATTTCATAGCTATGGTAGAAGCTTACAAAACGACAATATCTCTTCTTTTAGGAAGTAAGAACCTAAAGGTTATAATAATAAAATTGTAAACTACCTACATGTCAATACTAAACACTAAAACTAATTTTTTTTCACAGGTGAGAAGTCTGAATTTCTCAAAGCTTCTAGGCGGTGGTGTGCTACACACAAAATTTTGGTTAATAGATAGGACACATTTCTATATAGGCAGCGCCAATATGGATTGGAGATCGTTGACACAAGTATGTCTACCGCCAATTTGTTAACATTTTTTTTATATATAATAATATAACCAGCCATATAATATCTTCAAAAGTGACGTTTTCGACTTATTTTAGCTTTGACAGTAAAATATATCCATTTTAGCATGTTTTCTTTTTAAAAGATCACGTTATTGGTTTTTAATTACCTTTGATTTTAACTAGATGGCGTTGTACTAAGCTCCGATATAATAGTTTCGACAGTGGTAACTTAGATTTTAAGTTTTTATCACTATCTATCTATTTATTGTTCATGCAAAAACACTCATTTTGTGGAGTTTAATTCTCTGTTTTGAAGTTCGAACTCTATCTAAGTTAGGTATAGAGTTATTTATTTGTAGCATCCTAAACAAACTAAATGTATTTTTTTAAACAAACAAATTTTAAATCATTTTTCCTACATAGGTCAAAGAGCTGGGAATTGTTGCTTACAACTGTTCCTGTTTGGGAAATGATCTCGGAAAAATCTTCGATGTAAGTACAAATTGTATCTATACTAATAGTACCTAATAAAGCGCTTATCTCAGAAACTACTGGTTCGAATTAAATTATTGCTTTGTTGGCCCAAGCAATAATTTATAGACAATACTCCGTAAAACATCTGGCTGCGACCAATAGGAACGCAGAGAAATGTGGAAAAAGCTGGATAAAACTGGATAAATCCTTAAGCCGTTGCGTACGCTGCGCAAACGGTTTAAAAAACCAAAAGATATTTATGATAGAATGATTCCTCTTTAAATGATTTTAAAATATGTCGACAGTATATGTGAATATTTAAAGATTAACTCGCAAGAACGACGGGACGAGGTTGACGTCATGGGCGCTAATTTATAAGGATTAGGTTGTTTCTAAAAACAATTTTAGATGCCCAAAATCACTATTCTACTCGGACTAAGTCGCTGACACAGCTAGTATTTTGTATTTTGTAAAATAACAGATTGTAATACGTTATCTAATCAAAATCCTTGACCTATATAAAACGAGCGCTAGATAGTCTAAAGGCAAACCTTTCGTTAGTGCAAAATACAACGTCGTTAGGCCCCAGCAAGAGTACACAAAGAACAATAATTACGGCTTATACAAAATCCCGAATGAAACTTCTACTTTATATATCTTGCTACAAAGAACAATTTCAGAAGAAAGCCGCTTTTGATAAGCTGCCACCTGTCTTGTTTTTGTTTGGGACATATTAAACTCTGCTTTTAAAGACAATGTTATACCCAAAAGGAAAACTAATTAAAAAGCTTTGCTTTGTTTCGTATATATTATGAAGCATAGCAATATAAAATAAAATAATGTAACTCTTTGTTTTACTAATTAATAACTAATTACTAATAATTAATGTAAACTTTAATTATTTTAGTTTACTTAGCCCTTCGTACTTTATCTAAGTGAATCTATTATAATTTAAAACGAATAGATACTAAGAAATTGTATGTTTTAAAATACGTACTGATTTTAGTTTTTCTGTAAAAATATATACGTAAATTTCATAGACTATAAGTATAGACAGACAGCTATTTCATTTGGTGGAAAGTTAAATACCACATACATATAACATCTAACGCGATGCGCCTTCTACCTACTTTCGTCTATTAGTCTTAAGATTTTGTAAAAAAAATTTCGACGGAGCATGGCGCAAACATATGTATATAATATACATCTGTTTTATTGATCACTTGTACAAAGTAATCAACAGCACATAACTATTTATGTAACCTGTTCTTTTTTATTTTGGACCAGGACCTTTCGCGTTTAGACTTTAGCTGCAGGCAAATCACTTTACCAACTATCGTTAACTATAACGTTGTAAGATCTATTTTGATTCGATACACCGCCATTGATAAAAATTAAAGGCTTGCTTTGAACTTTGCAAATCGATCTATATTACGCGGTTAACATTTTACGCCAACAAGAAGCTGGAACGACATTTACCCCTAAGTTTGTGTAACTCGACAGCTAACTGGCACGAGGTTGTACGATGCCCGTCGCGTTACAGAGTTTATTAATGGTCTATCTTTGTTGTACCGTTACCCAAGTATATACAAGGTATTTTATGCTAAAATTGCGGGTATTTTTAAGTTTTCTCTAGATTTTTCACTTAATGAAAGTAACCCGACTACGAGGGTCAGTCGTTTATACATCGGTCCCAGGTTCAAATATTAGGAAATAAGGTATTTAAATAAAACCCTTGAACGGTTTTATTTGAATACGCGATATATTAGTTAAACTTATTTGAAAATGATTTTTAACTTCGGCCCGACGTTTCGGATGCTTTGCAGTAGCCGTGGTCACGGTCACGGTCAGTCTCCACTTAACTAATATATCGCGTTTTAAACCGTTAAAGTGTTTTATTTAAATGTGTACTAGTCGCGTAAACTATAGACAGTATTTAATAAGGTGTTGCATTTTGCTTGGACAGGACATATTTCTGTCGTTAACTACTTCTTTGAAATACGCATTCGTTGGTTTATACTTTTTAAATTTTCTAAAAATAAAAGACTCATTAATTTATTTTCAGCATTTTCCTCCAATAAGTCACATGTATGATAAAATAAATCTATTAATAACGTCAATGTCGCGACGAATCGATCGAATTATTTTTATTCAATGCTTTTATTAATTTTAGTAACATGCATTTGCATCCATTTCAGTTTAAATGCAACGCTAGGTCCCGAAACGATAGACAATTTCAATTTTCACTTTCGTACCTTTTGCGGTACCTTGTGAGGTTTTGTCCGCAAATGTAACTTATATAGAGGTTTTTATAAACTAAGTGTAGTTCGGGCTCACTTCTAAGAAAACTTCATACTATATTTCGCAATTCGCAAAAGAGTATGATATTGTTTATGAAAAATGTTCAAAAATATGGACGTGTTTGAGTCGTGTGAAGTTTACGCGGGTACACTTTATAAAAACTTAATTTAGGTTATGAAAAATAAGTAAACGCTTTTGACACATTTTTTTATTATAATCATATATTCAGATTATACATATAGATCCCAATGTAATGTACGACTTTAATTAAAAAATAAATAAGAAAATGAATATTCCTGTTAAACCGTTAAAACGGTTTAATTTAAATGTAGGAAACGTGTATTTTTTTCTAAACATATATGTCTATGTTCTGTTCGTCTTCCAGGTATACTGGAGTCTTGGTACATCAGATGCAGCGGTTCCTGACAGCTGGCCAAAGGAATTGAGTACTGAAATCAACATGGACCACCCTATCAACATAACTGATGATCAAGGTCATTACGGAGCGTATATAACGGTAAGATCTCCAATATATTGGTAATTTATTGTAATTTTTGATTATCCCCCCTTAAGTCTTTATCCTATGTCAGTTTTTGCAGACATAGTTATGTGTCTATTTTGAGTTGCTCGGATTTCGGAGATAATGTGGTCGTATTTCCTAAAATAATTACCACCCAAGCGTTAAGGTTGAAGGTTACATTGACGTCTACATGGTAGGTCAATTGCTTAAGACAACAGCTCTTGTCGTAACATTAAAAAAAAGACTAATTTAATCACCGATATGATTACCTAACACATCTCTTAAATTTGTACACTTTATTTTCTATGTAAAAGAGAGTTTCACTCTTAATGTAATTCAGGTAATACCCAAAGCTTTTACGATATCACTGCACGAGACATCTCCTGGGAGATCTTGTAGGTTCCATATTCTGGCATTCATATTCATATTTTATAGTTACTCTCGGGGTTTGCGGTATGTGATGTACCGTACGATATAGTACATTTAGGTATGGAATGCCTTTGTCTCGGTTATCGCTTTTGACGTTTAAAAGAATATAGTTACATAATAGTTAATACCATCTTGTATTATAACACAAACACAATAAAAATAATAAAAATATAATGCTAATTAATAATGTTCAATGTTGTTTAGTACAATTTCCTATAGATTTTAAACAAAAGAGTTTATGTTTTTCTGGATTGCGCTAATTTCAGGAATTACGGGTTCAAAATGATTTTTTTTTGTTTTGATTAGATCATTTATTGAGGAAGATTTTGGGCTAATAATCTCGTTGCGACCAATAAGAGCGAAGATACAGCGCGAAATGTGGAAAAACTGGGAAAATTTTTATTAATCTTTGTGGGTTTCCGTGTGCGTGCGCTGCGAAAAGGGTACAAGATACCCAAAAAATATCTATGAAAGATTGATTCCTCTTTAAACGATCTAAAAAAAATTACAGCATATATCTCCAGCATATATCTTTTAAGATTTACTAGCAAGAATGACGGGACGCGGTCAATGTCGTGGGTCACAGCTATAATTTATAAAGGGTTTGTAAAAACAAATTTTGTTGCCTTAATAAACTATTCTGCGCGGTCGCAGCCACAGTTTTGAATAAAAAGATTAGTCTTGTCATTCATCCATTTTGTACATTCTAGAAAACCTTTGAAGGACACTAGTACTCTATTATGTAATATAAGCAAGGATGTGAGATAGTAATACGGGTCGTTTATGTTCATAGTGAGTTTCGAGTCGCGCCCTCAAAGCTGGCTATTACAAAATTCAATTTTCTTTCCTCTCTAGCCAGTAATATCGCGTTTTCGTTATCCGGTCGAGAAAATTGCTTTACTAAATATAGAACGATCTTTTAGTCTATGGCTTATCCAGTTTTCTTCATGAGGACAGACAAGCACGGGGTTCACCATTCACTTGATGGTAATGTAGTTCCAAAAAAAACTAAGTTACCTACTTTATGTGGGAAATATTTACAATGGAAAGATGTAGTTACATGTCAGTTACAGGTCGTTAATATTTTAATTAAACTCTCTCACAGTATAGTATATAGAGAAACGTCTAGATAAAAATGCTATTTGTTCATCATAGTTCATCATATCAGAAGGTACATAAAGATTAATTTCTTCGTTGAAGACCGAAGACCGAACTGCCAAACTCACGAACGAGATTTTCGTGATAATACCACTACACAAGACTGTCTGCACTGTCTACACAGAAATGTGGTCATCCCAGAAGATACGGGATTTTACTTTCAAATATTTACCTATCCTTAAAATAATACCACAGCAATTCACGATACGCACATGAAAGTCATTCTGAGCGTAAACCTGTCCTTAATTCTTCACGTCTGTATTGAAACATGAATATTCTCAGAAAATTGCTCTCGTGTACACGCTTATTATTCATGTCGTTTCGTAGCTTCGGGTTCTGTATATTCCGTTTATAGATTCAATTCGTCGGTAAACACTTGTGAGATATTACGTTTGGTGTACACTAAGGCATCGCTCTTAGGGGCATGACCGAAACGTGAATTCATATCGGGTCCAACATGATTAAATTCAACAAATATTAAAAATCGATTTTAGATTTAAACAATTTTATGAGACGGGCAGGACGTGAACCGGCGGACGTGAACCGGGAACCAAAGCGTTTCGTGATTTTCATTTAAATCTAGAATAGACTTTTAATTTATATAGTGTCATTTCTGGAGGCCGATTCTCGTATTAATATAAGTTAAGTAGCAGCGCAGTTGCAGTGACGTTTTGTTGTTTTGGTATTCTCGTCTAACGTCAAACACGTTCGCGTCAAGTTCGCGTGACGCTAGCGCGTATTCCGTATTCTGTTGCCGAGCGTCACTGCAACGCGGTTTGGATCGAAACGAAATCGGTATTCTGTTAACTCATTACAATTGCAACTGACAGAACACTGCGACTTCAAACCGATTTCATTGAAGCGAAGCTGAAGTGACTCAATACTTCAATATTTGTTTACTTCTCTAAATAAAAGGACGAATTGTGAATAATTATTGTTAAAATGAGTTTTCAACTATCCTTAAGAGTACTGTCTCTAGCGGCTTCAGTTGATCGTTATAATCAATCTCAACGACAAGCTAGGACAGAACAATATATCAGCGATCCATTCGAAATGCCTAATGTTTTGTTTATCAAAACATATAGGTTAACAAAGCCAATGGTACAAAATTTAATTAGAACATTAAGTCCTGTTATTCCTAAATTGAAGAGAAGAGATGCATTGAGTGTTAAAGAAAAGGTTAGTGGTTTAAATTTTTTACCTAGTCTCTGTCACATACTTACAATTTTTCATAAACCTACTTAATACAATATTTTAACAATATAGGTCCTTATAGCATTAGCCTTTTATGCCACTGGATCTTATCAAACACTAGTGGGACAAAGCAAATACCACTGTGTAAGTCAATCCACCATATCCAGGGCAATAAGACAAGTTACTAAGGCTTTAAATAATCACCACATATTTAAATCTTTTGTTAAATTTCCCTCTACAAGAGAAGAACGTGATGTCATCAAAAGAAGGTAAATATACGACTAACCATACATACAAATACTTTTGTGTATTCCTTTGTCTTCTATTATGATTAACAAAAAATATAGATTTTACAGAAAATTTAAATTGCCTGGAGTACTAGGGTGCATTGATGGCACTCATGTCGCAATCATAAGGCCAAATCAGCATGAAGAGAGATATTTTAATAGAAAAGGATATCACTCTCTTAATGTAATGGTTGTATGTATATCCATTATTATTCAATGCATGTGCTGTGCTGCACAATATCACTAACCAAAATAGGTTACCAGTGCCTAATTTATCAGCGTGGGATAGGGAAATTGAAGAACAACTAACAGTAAGACGCAGAGCTCTTGAAAGAGGACTTAATATAAGTTCTGACATCTCAAGACAGGAACAGGGAAATAGGAGACCTAATTTAGATTTACTGGAAGGTCAAACTGTTCAAAGAGCTCTGATTAATCGGTTATGGCAACAAAGAGAAACCTAACTATGTTTGCAGCCATTTTTTTATATAAAAAATGAATGTATTAAAAACTTTATTATACTTTTTAGACTTTTATTAGCTATCTATACTATATTATTGTTTATAAAGGTGAAGGGGTTTGTTTATAAATCTTCATCATCACTTGAATCATCATCAACCCTCATCTAAAAACAGAAAAGAATGTTATTTATTAAGTTCAATGTAATTGCATAAACTGGTGCAAGAATTTTAATATGATAAATACCCTTTTTCTATAAATACGTGTTGTTAATTTTTCTATAGAATCTGCGATTCTAGAGTTCGCTTCGGCCGATTTTGCTGTTGCTTCAGCCATTAATTTAACGGCATCAGCCATTTTATTATAGGCTGATGCCACCATTCTCTCCACTTCTATTCTCGATTCCTCAATTTTTTCCAAGGAATTCCTACTGCTCTCTAATTCAGAAGGAATAGTATCTGCACATAAAACATATATTAATTTATTTGAGAACACAGTACTGTGCTAACACCTTGTACTGATTTTGTACCTCTATTGTGCCGAGTACGCTTACGGCGAGACCTAGGAAGACTTGGCGCTTGGTTTGGTTCCTCTTGACTTCTAAAATAATAGGAAATATTAAATTTTATCATCTAAATATATTTTTCAAAATGTAAAATGTTGTTAATACTAACCCTTCATTATTAACTTGCTCTTCACAGCTAAAATGTAAAAATATAAATATTAATGGAGTTCATGCATACACTACATTTTGATCAAAGAAACATTATTTAAAATGAAATTGCTAAATAATTAGATGATGATAAGTCAGTAGCATGGCTTACATAACCATGTTTGATATATGATGGTCATCATGCAATTGGTCTGTTGTCACTTGGGAGAGTTCCAAAGAGCGTTGACATTCAAGCTAGCAAAACACAGAAAGTTAGGTTAAAGCGATGAATGAAGCAAAAACACCACAAAGCCATTATTAAATTTTTTTTGAAACATAACTTACTGGTACTGGGTTTATCTGTACTTCAGACTGGGGAGTACCGTCAAGGCCAACAGCTTCCCTTCTAGCCTCCAAAAGAGAAACCAAGCGGTCCTCTAAGGGAGATAGTTGGTCTACTGTGGCTGGTCCTCCACCAGTCCCAGTTTGATAAGTTTTTAATTTTCTAAATCTATTTATTAGCCTACATTTGTAGTCTGTATACCACTGCAAATATAAAAATTAGTTAGATAGTAAGAAAAGAATTGAGTTCTAATGAATCAAATACAATATAATTAATGGGATTATTTACCTTGGTCCATTGTTTAGGAGAGCGTTCATCTCCATCTATCTCCGCATTTAAATTTTCGGCACATTCTGCCCAAAGCCGATTTGAAACCGCGTGTCCTTCCTTTGATTTCAAACGGCCTCGGGCTAAATCTGTGTGTTTTTCTAAAAATTCTATTAAGAGTTCCAATTGGCGAATACTTACTTTTTTTCTTTGACTCGTCACTGAAAATATTTGTTATAGGAATTAGTTAACTAAGATTTATCATAAAATAATAATTCTGTGGCTCTAAACAAATTATATACTTACTTTTGGACTATTTTTAAATACCTTGATAAACGGCAGTTATAATACGAATAAATCGCGCCCTCAATCACGTCACGCGAATTTACTCTTGACAATTGTCTAAGGTTGTCATACGTCCGAATTATAATATTCAAAATAATCTTAAATTATAATGCAAAAAAAGTTACAAACATACAAGAGATGTTTATAATGTTTTTAAGACTTGATATTTAAAAAATATCATTAAAATACCACAATTTCTATAAAAACATTATTTGAGCAATTAGGTTTTTCCTATGTGGTCACACCCCCCATTGTTTCCCTGACGTACGAGAGACGCACAGTTAACGCGCAGTTGACGCGAAGTTTTAAAATTAGGAGAATACCGTTCGACGCTTAATCGAAACTTGATCGCAGCGTCACTGCAACTTGATCGAAACGTCATTGAATTAGTAGAATCGGCCTGCTGATGTCATAGACAAATCTGCTACGCTAGCGCCACTTATTATATCGACCAGTTGCTATTTGAAGAAACTATCTGACAATACATAAATATTAAACGTGTTTTATCAGTCTGCAAAATGTGAACATTATTAACATATAATTACAAAGATATTAACATTAATTATCTCATTAAACTTATCCTTGTTTGTATTGAATTTGCATTACTATACTCGTATAACAATATAAATATGTTTTATATCTAAGCTCGCTTAAATAAACTGCCAAGACGACCGCGAACAATCCGTACAAATATTTCGTTGCCATAGTCTCTACGTTCTTCTAATAGAGGCACAAAACAGTGGTATTTATTTCAAATACTGACAAAAGGAATCCTTTCTTAGCCGGACGTTGGAAGCTTCAATATTTCCGTAGCATTCGCAACAATGCGGGTCGTCTCGACAGTCACATTAAGCCTAGTTAATCACAATAAAAGCTTTAACAGCTGACTCATGACATCAGTTCTTTGTTACGTCCTTGTGTGAAAATATACAAAGGATTTGTACTTGAATGAAAAAGCGACTCTCTCAAAACGACTAACGTAGGTATATTAAAATAATTAAATAGTAAGTGAAGAGAAAATCAGGCTGATAATAATGCGTAACGTAACGGAGTGTATAGGAGGGCTTTATGAAGCTATAAAAATTATTCAGTAGGTATAGCAAGGCTCTTATTAGATTATTGTGTGTATAGTAAATTAATAAAGTCAGTATGTTATATTAAGGTTTTTCTTTTCATATGTCGAAACGACGAACTAACTTAAACGACTAAATTGAATTCACACGGCTACTGTTTCTGGAACGGAAAAATCTGGAGATTAAATGGGTACCATTACCATCGATGAAGAAGCCGGCAAGTCTAATTGCGTTCCGGTTTTAGTATAGACTAATGCATAGGCATTTCCTCATGATTAGTTGTTATAAAGCTAGACTATTTCACCAATAAGTGAATTCCATGTTTGTCTGTGATTCTCTATCATAAAAAATAATCTCTTATTATACTTTTATCAATTTCTTATTTTCATGTCACATTTAATTAGACGAAGTGTGAACGAAACCGCCGGATATGCCTAGCGTATAAACTTGTTGCGTTATTGGTAAAGCCATATTCGCTATTGTTCTTAGAGTGGGTTAAGAACGTGGCGTTAATGGCTGCAACTAATACTTATGTAGGTGGAGGTAGGCTATTAATAAAACCTATATTGTTCTTTTAATTAACTAAATATAACTGGTTTATAAAGGCCTTTGAAATAAATTCTTCACTATATAAGAAAACAATACTTTGATTATTCGCTAAAAGGAAATCATTTCTGAGTTTAAATTTCTGCTAGAATATTTAAATTTACATTCAAAAACCTTATTGCCCTTGTTACAGTACAATACAGTTACCTACAGTAAACTTGAAATAAATAGATAAAAATGGCAACCAATACCAGTCTCAGCTATTCTACTGAATGCTTGTCACACTCAGCAGCGCTGATTTTCAGACTGGCTCGCGTATACTATTTATATATACATGTAAATTGGCAAATCAATAATCAAGTTTTTTTGCCCTGCTCAACACTTTGTATATTTCTACTAGACGGTCTGCATGATTTTCATTATTTTCTCAATTTTAATGTCAAAGGTCACAAATAATGATATGCAAGCAATTTATCATTATGTTTGTACAATTACCACTCGAGCATGATCGTTTAAGAGATAAAGCACACGCACGAAAAACATTAAACCGTTCCGATGTTTCCACTTAGAGAGGGCGAAATCACGCATAAGTTTGAACCCAGTAATTTTCACATTAGCCTGTCAAATCGTATGGATTTATAGCAGGTGGAATCAAAACGATACTGCTAATAAAATGTACCAAATTTAATCAATTAACAAATAAGTAATTTCATCTCCAATGTTTACCGTCATATAATGTTCAGAAGAAAAAGAAATAAATTACAACATCACATAAAGATAATTGTCAATATTACTTCTACTAGTCTTGTTTGTCTAAATCTTCTGTTTAATTTGTCTTTCTTTATCCAATCGCCGGGTTTAAATAAAGCGATTCAACGCTTGACTTTTCCTCTTCCTGAAATACCTTCTCCAGTGTTCCTTAGAGCTTGTGTTGAATAGTACAACAATCGTTTGCGGAACCATCCTCAGCATTAGAATGGCGTTCATAATCCTTTCGATCACATCTACCGCTTGTAACATGACAGTTAGTAAGTAGAGTACCACTGCCATATCACAAATGATGGCCACACCCACTAAAGACGCGACTCTTCTCCCCTTCACGCGACTCGCAGAATTTACACTAGATCGTAGAACGGATTTAGTGACTTTAATAATTAGGTACAGATTTAACGTCCCCATCACATATATGGGCAGTATACGTAACAACAACTTCCCGAATATTGTTGAAAATGGAAATAATATTGGTATCAAGCCTTCCGTTATCATCCTCACGATAACCAGAGTCCCATTAGCTAAAGCGAACGCCGTTCTCTTCTCGAAGCTTATTTTCCCGGAATATAGCAGCACCAACTTCAGGTAAGCGAATAAGGAAGCGCATAACGACCAGCACATTGTTGCCAGGAACAGGAGCGATTTTATATTGATCATGAACTCGTTGTTGTCGTCGCCATATGAAATGAAGAATACGTCGTCTATATTGATGGCGATGATGTGTAGCGTACCCATAACGATTTGCTGGATGCTCATGAAGTTTTGTAAAGAACGCCATTTGGGTAGCAGGAACCATGTGAGCAGTAGAACTATAGCACACAGTAATGAAAGGAAAGCGCCTAATAAGTTAACGATAAAATCCATAGCTTGTTATAGAACATTACATTAACAAAACTTTTATCAGAATGATTGAATATTTTGCTGTAATATATTTTGTGTTCGTACAATATTTTGAATGTCTGTTTATAGAAGCACTATGAAGTAATATACAAATATGTTGTATGTTATTTTCCCATATTTAAAAACCCTTCTATAGGGGTCTTATATGAGAGGGATGAAAAAATATGGAGTTTCTTTGTTTTCAAAGAGATTTCATTAATTTAACTGCTCTACCAATTGACTCGGTAGCTCAATTGGTAGAGCAGCATCACGGGACGCTGACGATGCCGGTTCAAGAAAGCCCTAGTCGAATTTTTTTCCAATTTATTTTCGATTTTCAAATTATATAGTGCCTTCATGTGCAATGTAAAAAAAAAACATAAATATGTACATACATAAATGTGCAAAATATTAAAGTTTTCAGATTCATTAATATTTTTGCAGTATTCTAAGAAAACCTAAAAAAAAAAACAGAAATAAAACAAAAATCTAAATTAAAGAAAAAAACTGTCAAACCCACGGTAACTTCTAGTATTACAGCCATCAGTGTATTAATTATTCCTGTTATCACTAGCAGGAAAGTTAATTACAAAATACAAAAAAAAAAACGTTTACTATTGCGAAGCTTTGATTATTGTTAATTTGTTATATCATAAACAGCTGAAATTATTCATTTTAAGTTAAGCCACTCTAATTTTTTTAGGCGGTGAAATTACTTATATTTTGTCATGTAAAAAAAACCATTCCAAAAATATCTTATAGGACTTTGGAAGGTTTGAAGGGGAGGCCTCTCAAGTCACACTTTCTAGATGTAGGAGGCCTTTTTTATTTATTATTATACTAGCTGTGTCCGCGTGAATTAGTTATTTTGGTATGATATTATTTAATTTTACAAACAACCTCGTCAGCTTTATAAATTATAGCTCTTACCCTCGACGTCGGTCGCGTCCCGTCCTTCTTGTGTGTTAATCTTAAAACATACACATATATTGTGGTGGATTTGTTTTTAGATAATTTAATGATAGAAAATCATGTACACAAATGAACAGAACAACGAAAGTCTTTTCTTTGGCTTTTTGGGAATAGGGGTGGGAGTGGGAGTGAGTGTAGGAATGAGAGTGGGAGTTAGAGTAGAAGTGATGTAAAGTGAGAGTGTTACGGCAGTAGCAATTACAACATAGATTGGCTGCCTTAAATGCGCTTTTACATAAATTAATAAACAACCTAAATAATTAAAAATTCTACCCCAAGTCACTATTCAACGCGGAAAAAGTCGCGGGCACAGCTAGTATTTATTTTATCACTATTTTGTATTACATTGTGTGACAAAGATTTGTGAATATTTTGATAGTCTATTGTACTTTTCGCCCATGTAGTAGGGTTTATACGGTAGGGTAGTGTCTTGACCTTTCACTTGCTGCCGTATTAACCTTTTATGGCCGTTGGCGAGATGGGGTGTGCCGATTCGATTCGCTTAGCATATTCTAACATGTTTCGTTTTACGCCTCTTATTTAAAAGAGCCTTTAAACACTGATAGTTTACCATTGAAGACAAGTGATAAATGTGGTGAAGCGACTTTTGCCAGCTCTTGTTTTTTATGTGCTCTTTGTTTACAAAATGTAAAGTTTTTTTTATTATATACAAAAGAAGCAACTATTTTATAAAACATATATATATTAAACCGAAATTAAACTGAAAAAAATTTCGACTCGGGCAGGGCTTGCTGTCGGTAGCTCAATTGGTAGAGCAACAGCACGGAACGCTGACGATGCCGGTCCAAATCCTGCCCGAGTCGAAAATTTTTTCAGTTTATTTTTGATTTTTAATATATAGTGCCTTCATGTACAAAATTGAAAAATATTAAAGTTTTCAAAATATATATTTTTAATTTGAAACGTTATTTAGTTAAGCACGCGAAAATCTCGTAATCTCGAAGCTTAAAAATCGTATTTCTCTTTACAGAGTTCTCCACCGCCTCTGAGTCCGTCTGGTCGCACCAACGACGATGATGCTATAGTCAACATTATACATTCAGCGGAGGAGTTTGTGTATATATCAGTGATGGACTACGCTCCAGCCTTGGAATTCACGCCAAAATTAAAGTGAGTTTTTTTAAGCTGTCTTAAAAATGCACAAAGAATTTAGACATTTCAAGTGGCTAGACACTCCGTGAACGTCGCGAAACCCCTCACTCCGAGGAACATCCGTCCAGCTCTTAAGCTCCAGCTCATAATTCAGCGCAATTATTGGTGGCCTACTGACTAACTAAAAGAGAATTGCAAATAATAATAGTGGTCCATAAAAAAATTTAAAGAGATTACCATGTGTACAAATTAATTAGATATTTCTTTACAATAATCTTGACGAAGTAGGATAAAACATATCTGGAGAAGACTGTTGGTAAGCAGTCGCCACCTCCTGCGAGCTGGTGATGCTTCAGAAGGTGGGGGCTGAGAGATGGGGTCTAATGACCGACTGCGAGCGGCAAGACGGGGATCAAGGAGGCGACGCTATTCGAACCTCCAAGATCATTCCTAATCTCGCTTTCGCCTTGTCTGAAATGGGCATTGGTGCTTGGAGCTTTGGAGTACTACAAAGGTGTTCCTCAGGGCTCCCTTAAAGCACCGTAGAGAACTGATGGTGTGTTTAGTAGTTTCGGTCGCCTATACGACTTACCACACTCCCCATGTCACTAATGCCCGACGTGGGCGTGCATTTTTGCATCTTTTACTGATGGTGTGAATGCCTTTGTCTTTTATTCTAATAACAAACTCAACAGATATTGGGGTAAGATAGACGAAGCGATACGTGTGGCGGCGTTGGAACGTACAGTGAGGGTCCGATTGCTGATCAGCTGGTGGAAGCACTCCTCGCCGGCTGAAGAGCATTACCTGCGCTCGCTGGCTGCACTGGACCACGCGTTACCTCGGGTCGATATACAAGTGGTCTGTATCCTTAAATAACATGTATATTATCAGATTTTCTTACAATCCTTTTCTATATAAGTTACAATGCAATATTATTATTGTTTAAAAGGGAATATTTCCCTCAAAAATTTTGACATTATTTTTAACAAGTTATCGTTAGACTGGTGTTTTTACGAATACAAAGTTTCTATATTAATGTTGTCCATCCAAAAGCTCAGACTTTAATATATCATTTTATGTTACACTATAACAATTGTTAATTTAATTGATGTTGGATATTATATCTTTTTATCGCGCACTTATCGCTAATTATTTCACTAAAGCACATTTGAGATTATTAATAAGCACAAAGCCAAATTACTGTCATCAACTAAGCCTTGTCTGTACTTTCGCGTGTACAGTGTACACATTCAAATTAAACACCGTTAGAAGGTTTAAAACGGATTTAATATTAGTTATTTTTAATAACGACCCGACGTTTCGGATGCTTTGCTACATTTGACCACTATGGCCACGACTGCTACTAAGTATCCGATATGAATAATATATTTTGCGTTTTAAACTTTTAAAAGAGTTTGATTTCAATCTAATTCTTTGTCTTTACAGCGCCGCTTCATAGTACCGTCGACTCCAGATCAAGACAGAATCCCCTTTGCCAGAGTGAACCATAACAAATATATGGTGACAGACAAAACTGCGTACATCGGGACGTCTAACTGGTCCGGAGACTATTTCTTAGACACGGCGGGTGTAGCATTCGTCTATCGCCCCGATACAGATGAAGTTAAGGATGCGTCCAGAAATATATCCCGGGATATAAGGCGGGACCTACAAGACGTGTTCGAAAGGGACTGGACGTCACCATACGCGGTACCGTTGAGAAGGTTATAGCGGTAAGAGCCGAGATGGTTCAATAATTTTCCGTTCCTGTAACGCGACTTCTATTCTCGGTCGTTCACAAAAAAAGTAACTTAAACAGTTCAAACGTAAAGAGAACAATCGGTAACTTGTGTCACTTATATAACTTTGAACGGACTGGATTCGAACTCACGATATCCACTATAAAATAAAACGTTACATGAAATTATAGTAATTCTAAACTTGGATCTCAAATGGCATTTTGCCAGTGTAATAGATTGAAAGCCTATAGAGTGTATATAATATATATTAGGCCCCAGTCCCGGCTGTGGGACTTATAAAGGCGTGATAAGATGTAATAACGCAAACGTTACGCTTTCATGAATTAATCTATATAAGGCATTGTATTATAGGAACTAGCGATACTTTTTATGCGTACCATGCATAAATCGTTTTTGAGATGTTATATGCAGTACTAGCTGTGTACTTCTACCGCGTAGAGTAATTGAGTGTGTATTGCGTATACGAATTTGTTTTTGCAAACCTCTTCATTATCATAAATTTAAGCCGTTACCCACGACGTCGACCACTTCCCGTCATTCTTGCAAGTTAATCTTAATAGATAGACATATATATTAAGATAGTATTAAACTGGAATCATTCTTTGATACTTATTTTTTGGTATCTTGAACCGTTTTCGCAGCGAACGCATCGGAAGATGAATATTTCCCTCATTTTTTTAGAGACACAGTGCGTGTTTTATAGCCTTCCTCGATAGATGCTCTCAAAAATAATTTTTCAATTCGAACCAGTAGTTCCCGAGATTAGCGCGTTCAAACATACAAACCTTTCAGCTTCAGCAGTGGATCCTATGCTTGTCTGGCCTTCTTTATTTTAATTAAGACTGTTATTAGTAAATGCCAAATAAACAACTGATTTTCAACTAAGTATGTAGTATGTTTCGGTTTTTTTTCACAGCTTTGACGCGTTTATTTAAAGTACTTATTCGCGTAACGTTTGCGTTATTTATAATTTAGCGATAATTAATAAAATGTTACAACTTACCCTGCCAATACCAATTCCGATTCTCACCATTTTTCATAGCTTTAGTCTTAAGTTTTTTCTACTGAGGTGTGAACTATTGTTTTTAAGATATACATTCAATATAATTATTAATTTATGGAAATTACAACAGTCAAGATCTTTCCACAGACATACAGACAGCGAAATCGTGATCATAGCAATTTTTACCGTTTTGACACGGAACTCTAAAAAGCTACTATGTTACTTAGTTGTAAAATTATAAGTTCAGTGAAGTTTTTCAAATAACACAATTTGAATGAAATAAACAACAACTAATATTTTGGCTCAAAGTTTTATCATAGTTATTTCCTATTTTTCTTTTTATTAGAGACTGATAGAACCAGAGTGGCCTAATAACAAAAGCATGATTTTCATTAGAAGGAAAATAAAAATGGGCAATAAACTTTCAACTGTGTAAAATTTATTAACAATTTTTAAATAAAAAAAGTTATGTTAACAATTTTTGGTCACTGTGCTCTTGTAGATTAACATCTCAAACGATAAAAATATAAGTCAAATCATAAAGAAATTCAGTTAGGCTACTCTGGCCCTAGCGGCCCTAAATATGTTTAAAACGAAAATGTTCAAACTGTTTGATGTTCTTGCCTAATATTAAGAAGTTTGTGTAGATTTTATACCTATTAAAAAAGTGTTTGCAAATCAATTTAAGCGTAGTTTTGCGATGAACTATTCAAAATGGATTAAAATTATATGATTTAGGTTTTATTGCGAACGTAAGTAACTAACTGTATGAATTTATTTTTAACCATGTACATACCGTTTCCTCAATCTCAACAATAAAGTTTTTATTTAAACCATTTTTTTATTGATTATTTGAATCAACGTTTTTAATCAATATAGATAGATATTGATGTACCAAAAGATATAGGTCGCGGCACGGATGTTTAGCGCTGAACGAAGTGATCCGAGAAAGACAACACGACTGGGAAACCAATCAATGCTAGCGATATATAAAATTAACTTCACTTCATTACGATCCTACGTTTCGGCTGCTGCGACAATAAATCATTATTTTAGAGCACCTGGATTTTGTCATGGTCCTTCTATTCTTTTAATATCCCAATTCTCACTAAGCACTTGTTGGTAAAGCATCCGGTTTCCACACACTTCGACCTGCAATTTACACTACAAAAATGTGTTTTAAAATATTTATTCCAAGTTCTTACAACTTTACAGATATAAGAGTTATACTACTACAACTACTAACAACTCCATTATTTCTTTCAAATTAATATTATAACGAGAATTAAAAAGAACCTACTCACTGGCAAAGTATCGTTCATCAATTATGTTTTTTTATACATTAAAAGTTTAAGTGCAACGAAGCCTGCTACTGGGCTCAGCCACGCTAGTCGAACAGTTCGTACTTAACAGTAACTTTATAATTTATTATGAGGCTGAGTGGCCTAATGAAAAAAATATGCTTTCCAATAAGGAGGAAAATAAAAATACTCAATTAATTCAGGGAAAAGTGAATTAAGAATAATGTTAATCATTTTTGGTCTGCATGTATATATGCTCACTTACACTTTTAAACTATAAAAATGTAAGTCAAGTCATAAAACTGCAGTTAGGCTACTCTGCCTCTTGCGACCTCATGTATAGTTGGTACTACTACATTATTATATAAAACTTTAAATTAAACCTTAAATTTAAACAATCATCATATAACGAAACATATTATAAAATCTTCTGTAATCCAAATCCAACCGCTTGAAGTAAAACACGAAACGTGCTGTAGAAACGTAAAGTTCCTACTAAAAGTATAGTTGCAGTCGGCTTAGTTGTCAGCTAGGCTCTTAGATAATAGAATAGAGAAATAGACACAAAAAGGAGTCTGGTCCAAACCCCGTGTAAAAACAATCCTGGAAATATTCGTCCTACGCGTGGACACGTATATGTGTCTCATGCAACTCCCGAAGAAAAACGTTCAAGAAAATATTTATCCTAGGCGTATTCCCAGGGCTTCCTCAAATCACCGTAGCTAGTGATGTGTTTAGTGGTTTTGGTCGGCTATTGTCTTCGGGGAGGTTGTAGTACGATTTACCCCACTTCCCACGTCACTATTGCCCGGTTGCGTGCATTAGGCATTCACACAATAAGTAAAAATAGCGTGGTCACAGAAATGTATACTTTCTAGGAAATTGGAATTCTTAGGGAATATTTCTATTTATCCTAGGCGTGAGTAGCACTGTCTTCGACGAAGTCCCTCGCCTCCTCTTGCGTGACGCACTCGACGTGCGAGACTTTGTTCCTAAACTTGACGCCGTAGAACTTGTGCGCATGCTCCAACAGCTCCGGCCGGAAAGTGGTCGTGATGAACTGCGCACTCGACGATAGCTCGTGGATCATATTCGCGATCGCTTTCCTGTGCTGCGCGTCTAACGCCTGAAAGAGAAACATTTTTACCATCCATATATTGTAACCATTGCACGAGTTCATCAAAGTTATTATATTACGTGTTAATACAATTCAGAAACAAACGAATTAAAAAATTAAGGTTAATAAGTGTTTCTGGTATAGTGTATTTTTTCTAACTTGGCATTTTCGGTAAACAAGCACACAATATACATGAAATTGTGACTTTCTCACAATGTTTACATTGATTTACACTGTGTCATCTGTGGCATCAACTTCACTCTATCAAGGTCTCTGTGGTATGAAATCGGCCACATTTGTTGTTATCGTTTCTCCATTTAGAAAAAAATACACTTAAATTCTCCTAATATCATAAAAATATAAATCAGTCTTTTGTTTACATCTTTATAATCTATTTCTAGTTTATAAAATAAATAATGTAATATTTTTTTTTAATTAATATATCTATAGAAGAAGTCTATGATCCTTTTTTGGGTGTTTACCTGATCGATTTCGTCGAAGAGGTAGAAGGGAGCCGGGTCGCACTTCTGTATGGCGAAAATTAGAGCCAACGCGACGAGGGACTTCTGCCCCCCGGAGAGCTGGTTCATTTCACGCATGTCTCCTTCTCCGCCGGTGAACGACACGCGGATACCCACTCCCGTGAATTGTTCTGCGTTTACACTTCGCTGTAAGAGATATCATATTAAAATAAAGCGCCCTTGACCTTGGTTTCATAATAAGAAGTTAGTTAAGATGTCATGTTTAGTTAAAGACACCTTTTTAATTATACTTTTTATTTTTGAATACAACAGTAAACGGTATAAAACGCGAAATATATTAGTTAACTTATTTATTTTAACTACCGCTCTCCGTGAACACGACTGCTCTTAAGCGTTTGAAACATCAGGCCGTAGTTAATACTATCGTAAATAAGTTAAGTAAAACATTTTGCGTTGTAAGTTACAGACTTATGTTTGGAACTTCTTGTGGACCAAACAATTTTTATAAAGTGTATAGAATTGTACATAATCGACAACTACTATCTACCAATTCTACATAGATTGACTCCGAGGCGTAAGTAAGGCTTTCTTATACGCTTATTGTTTGAACTAAGTTTAATTTCAAATACAACCCACCGCTGGACAAACAATTCTCCACAATCATAAAAATTACAGTATAAATAAAAAGAATTATCTCTTTCTTTCTATACTTACATCAGCTTGAATTTCCGTCTGTTCTTCGCTCGCGATGCGCATGATCAGCGAACCGCGCCCTTGCGGCACCAACTTCTTGAACACGTCCGTGAAGTTCTTGCTCACCTGCTTGAACGTAAACTGGATGGCTTCCAGCTTACGGTGCTCTAGTGTTTCGATCAATTCGCGAATCTTTTCGCCACTGAAATACAAAGTGTTAGTACTACATTACTCCCATCAGGACTTTGTAGTGAGAAAATTAAAAAATAATGGGAATTAGTAATTTCTAAAGCTGGGTTCGTTTTTATTTAAATACTAGTTGTGCTCGCGACTTCCTCCGCGTAGAATAGTTTTGAACATCAGAATTTGTTTCAAACCCACTCCTTATCTTTATAAACGATAGCTGTTACCCACGACGTCGTCTGCGCCCGGTCGTTCTAGCAAGTTAATCTTGAAAGACTGACATATAATGTCGCGGAGAATTTTTTAGATCATTTAAAGGGGAATGATTCTTACACATATTTTATGAGTATCTTGGACTGTTTTCGCAGGGTACGCAACGGAAACCCTCCTCCTTTTTTCCGCCATTTCTTAGCTCCTATTGATCGCGGGTTAATGTTTTACAGCCTTCCTCGATAAATAGTCTATCCAAAACATTCTCTTCAGCTTTATAATCTAGAGATTTAGAATTTAGAGATTTTTTTAATATAACTCATTTTTGTATGTCAAAGAACCTATTTGAATTGGAATAAAATATGTATACGTTGGCCTGCATTTAGATTACTAACTTGTTAAATTCTTTAAAAATAAGAGAGGATTATGAACACAACCATGTCCTTTTTTAGACATCGTTAAATCTTATCGCTTATACTTCACCTAATTTAGATTTTTTTGTAATAATTCGAACAACTAATATTAACAAATGTGGTTGCATTTTGCCATCAAGTAAAAACAATTATACATATTTAACAATTAAATACATTGTTTCTTAAAATAGAACATTTCTACCAGTATGAGGCCATTGTCAAAATTACCGTCGTAAAATCGTTCAGTGCGGAAAATACGCGATATTATGTCAAGTTCAGCGCGATAATCTGTTCCTAACGACACTCATCTAATTAGTGAAAACGGATATAAGTGGCTCGGCGATAGTTCATAGCAAACACAATGGCTTTGAAGCTACTGTTTATTTGTTTCGTGGCGGTGGTTATACAACAAGTGCGGCCTATAAAAGTGCCAATCTTAGGCGACGTGCTCAATGGGCTAGCGAATGTTTTCAATTTGAACCAGACGCCCGTAAACGAAGATGTGAACTTGAATATAACGCAATTGGCGGCGAAATATAATTACTCGATGGAAGATCACAAAGTTACTACGGAGGATGGGTACATCTTGACCGTTCATAGATTGGGTGAGCGTCGCGGCGTCCCCATACTATTGATGCACGGTCTTTTAGACTCATCTGATAGTTGGCTATTGCAAGGCCCGAACAACTCTTTGGGTTATCTATTAGCGGAAGCAGGCTTCGACGTGTGGATGGGAAATGCGAGAGGGAACAAGTATTCATTTTCGCATATAAAACTAAACGCACGCGACGAACGTTTCTGGAACTTTACATGGGAACAAATCGGATTGTACGATCTACCGGCAACCGTGGACTATATTTTGAACGAGACCAATTCAAAGGAGCTGTACTATGTCGGCTTTTCGCAGGGAACCACCACTTTCTACGTTATGAACGCATTAAAACCGGAATACAGTAAAAAGGTGAAGATGATGTTCTCACTGGCGCCAGTCGCTTGGCTGAGGAACATTCGGGAACCGTTGTTGAAATATATGTCCAGACTAGTCGGATACGCGCCGTCTTACAATCTGTACACGTCGAGTAAGGAGTTTTTCACCAGGGTTTGTGGTATATTTTCGAACAGATGCAGCGGTGTAACAGACATATTCACGAGTACAGCTGGCTTAGTGGACAAAGACATAATGCCCGTTATTTTTAGCCACTATCCAACGACCGCGTCTGCTTTGCAGTTCATTCATTACGCGCAATTGATCAACTCGGGCCGGTTTTGCAGGTTCGATTATGGGAAAGAAAATATGGCTGAATACGGCACGGTTCTGCCTCCGGAATATGATTTAAGTGAATTGACTACTCCAGTGGTTTTGTATTACAGTAATGGTGACTCGCTGTCGACTATTTTGGACGTTTTAAATTTAGGACGTCACTTGCCAAATGTCTATAAGACAAATATTATTAGAAATATCAGTCATATGGACTTTATATATGCCACGATCGCTAAGGAGAAGATATACAAAGATATTATAATGCATATTAGGCAGTTAGAGAAAAACTAAAATTTGTTAAAACAGGTTGAAATACACTAGTATAATGTTAGTATTTGTTCTCTTCTTTGTTTCTTGTTGAATGTTCTTAAATCAGTATTTTTATACCAATATACCTACTATCTGCACTTTACGCGAGTGATACACGTACACACAATAAAATAACTCCTTTAAACACAATATTTTGTTTTGTTAAGCGTTTTAAACCGTTAATTGTACAATAACAACATTTTGACGAGCTCAATGTTGAAATGGTATATATGTAGTAGTAGGTAATGCTATGGTATCCTCGCTGCGTCCAATGTTTATAATAACTCTATAATATTTCTTAATATGTCTGGACAATGTCTCTAACTCAGAATATTAAGTGGGTGGAAGGAATACCGAAATTCCATCAGGATCATGTACCACCATCGATGGATGAAAAACCATGATTTCCGAATATCCAAAGCCAAAATAAGTCGACAGCGCTTCTTGTTAAGATGTTACTGAGCTATTTCTTCCACCATGTTTGGTCCCCACCCTCCTCTCTCATAAAAAAAATATGAATTTCTAAAGCGGCTAAGTATTTACATTTCTTAATATCCATTTATAATAAGTTTCCAACAAGTATTACATCAAGAATATTTAAATAAGAGTTACCCGACATCCAGCTCCTCCTTTCGTTTGTACAATTTCTCCTTCTGCTCCGAGAAGCTGATGAACTGGTCCAGCGCTTTCTTGTTGACGTGATTGTACTTCTTGAGGTGTTGGTTCGCCTTCTCCAGCTCTTTGAATAACTGGAATTGGGATTTTCAGATAATAATAATGAAAGACTTTATCGCACAAACAAATAGAAATGCAAGGATTTACTAATTTACATAAAAAGTAAGTGCAAAGGCGGCTTTATCGTGTATGGTGATTTCTTCCAGGCAACCTTTGTTTATAGGAGATGGAAACAAAAGAGCAATTAAAGACTAAAAGTCAACAAGATGGGGATCTAACTGATAATAAACATATATTCCATTTAAAATTCGGTATTTTAATTAATCACAAAAATATGACTACTTTAGACATTTATTCATAATTAATAAGAGTTTAATCGTAGGCTATGCGAGAACAATATTTTTCCTCTCTCTTTTAAATTCTATGCAAGGAAAGCGTAGGAATGTACTGAGTAGTTTACGCGACTACACATTCAAATAAAACACTTTCAACGGTTTAAAACGCGAAATGAATTGAACCTATTTAGCTTTTTTCATTTACATTTGTTTCCTCGCGAAGACTACTGTAAAGCATCCGAAACATCGGGTCTTGTTTAATGTAATGTAAAATAATTTGTAAATATTAACACATTTCGCATTTTAGCCAGTTTAAAGTGTTTTATTTAAAATATAGGAATAGGATTTTAAAATCTATAAAAAGCGAGTTTCCGAGATTCGAACTACAGAACTCTTAAGTATACATACTGTAGAGAACCTTATAAATAAAAAGTGCATTAGATACCTGTTTGAGTGACATCTTCTCATATTTGGTATGCAATTCGGGGGCATTAGGCAATGTTCCCAAAGCGGCAATCTTGTCTAGAGACTCTTGAATTTTCTCCTGGAGAAGAACTTCCTTCGACGCCATCTTTTCCAGGCCTTTGGCGTCCTCCTCCATTTTATCCTGCGCTTCTTTTTCCTGGAAATGATAAAGCAAATATCAATCTTATTAACGTTTTTAGCAAAGCTTAACTTAACTTAGCCTTACTTATCGTCTTTTATATACTTATTGCCTTTACGCGCGCAAGCAAGCAAAGGAACTGGCTAGGTAATGCTAAATGTATATTTACACGAACCATTTGGTGCCATTTTTGATCTTTCTATAACTTCAAAAGTATCTAACGTAACCACATGAAACGGACAGTTATTCTTGTACATTTCCAATAAAGCAAAGAAGTAGAGTTATTACTTGCTGAATAAAACTTGGCTCACATTTAGTTCTCTTTTTTTCATTTATGGTTTATGTGGAATACTATTATATTTGTAAATATTTTTATATAAGGCGCCGATTTCCAGCATTTAAAAAGAAATGACGAAATGAATTCACCTTGTTCCTCCACTTGTCTAACTCCTGTTTTAAAGCCTTTTCATTCTTGACAGCTGCCTGAACCTTCCTCTCCACTTCTTCCATCTCTTTGTTGATCTGCTTAATTCTCTTCTCAGCCGTGTTCAAGTCCGACTTGCTGTTTTGGAGTCTTCTTTTGCGGTCCTCAACCGATATCTCCTGCAGAGCTTGGACTAATTCGTCCTTACGCCTGTTTTACATGAAATAGTATTAGGTTAGACATACCAGGTATGTAAAATGTTAATTTATCTTAAAATAAAAAATTAAAAATCTATGTTACATTGAAAAATAAAATGCGACACGGCCGGGACTTGAACTGGAATCCAAACCGTGGCGTGCTACTGCTCTAACCAATTGAGCTACCGTGTTCTACACGTCATCGTCGAATTCGTCACCATCTTTCGCATTATCTATATTCAATTTTTTCAATCTAAAATTAGATTTTTTATTTGTATCACTCTATTGTATGCTTATTAATGCTATTAAAAGAGTGAAATATTTTTGTGAATTGAATGTGACACAAAACATATTTTAGTCTCGAGTCGTAAAAGCGAACGTTTAAATAAAACACTAACACTTTAACAGCCGTCCAAAAAAAATAAAAAAGGCTAGAATCCAAATTTACCGTATCAAGTTATTGGTGAGCAGATTCTCCAGTTTGTTCTTCGTGGCCTCTAAATTCATTCTCTGACTGAACGCCTCCTTGTTATCCTGCGTCAGGCGACGGATGGCGTCGTTCAAATCGTCCACTTTCACTTGATCCGATGTCGACAGTTGCTCCATCAATTCCTGGAAAAGATGTGAAATAATATTTATTAAATATCGCAAAAGATACGCAAAAGATCTTCACAAATAGGACTCGGTGACTTGCTCTTTTAGTAAATCAAAAATGATTTTTATTATTGGACAACTTAACTGACCAGATGGACTCATAATTAATTTGTTGACTTATTAGAATACCTAGTAGTTCGGTTGCAATTATACAATCTGATAACTCTAAAAACATTTGGCAAATCATTTTTCGGACAAAATCGTCGGTCAAAAGGTTAACGAGTCATTGTTCGATTCCGAACAATGTCTCTTAAACAATTAAAATATATTTATTTAAACACGTAATAAGTTTTGTCTGGGAATTTGGACATGAACTGCGTGGATAGATTATTAAAAACCGTCCAAATGAAAGAGCAAGACTTCTGAACATTATATGGTTGGGGTAATTAATGCACCATTAATCAAATGAACCCCCTGCTAGAATGTCATTCTTTATCATCAAAATTGTAACTAAGATTTCCAGCATCACAGCATTAGCGGCAAACGTAGATAAATACAAATGATAAGCGAATTTACCTTCGAAACACTTTCAATAAGAAGCAGGAGCTCAAAATGAACTGATAAGGTATATACATGTTATATTGTGTGGGTGGCCCGATAACTTTATAATGTTTAATTAGTTTGCATTACCCTCTCATTATTCGTATATTTTTATCGCGTTAAACGTGTTTAACATCAATGCTCACTTCGTCCGCTTAGCTGGTCTTAAAGTTAATTTTTCTTAACTAAAATTAATTTATTTTATGATCAATTCAATAATACTATTAACATAACAATAGTGCATAAATAACGCGCTTTTATTACGACTCGGTATATAAACATTTGTTTGATTTTGTGTATAGACTTATATTTTGTCAGTTATTAGTGGCATGCGCATGTCGATCCGTGTAAAGCTTATTATCTTATTTCTACAATCGTAAGGAGATAATATCTACTTACCTAAATCATTGAATTACTATATTACTTCTTAAAATAGCATGTGTATTTGAGTTGGTATTACATTTTATTAAATGTCAAACGTGAAGAAATTAAAAGCGATGTCTTCAGATGACCTTATAGATACTGTACTGGGTCGTTTAGGGCGATATCAAGCGGTGATAATTTTTCTGGTGATCTTGGGTCGTGCTCCAACTGAATTTCAACTGGTGAACGTGGTGTTTCTTCTGCCAAACCCAGAATATGTTTGCCTGGACGATGGGGCGGGTAATGCGACTAATTTCTGCCCATGTAAAAATCCCCAATACAACACGGATACGGTGATGAGTTCAGTGTCGAGCCAGTTCAATTTGATTTGTGATAGACTACATTTGGCCAGCTTTGGACAGTCCATGTTGCAAGGCGGGATCCTGGTTGGGAGTGTTTTGTATGGCTATATTTCTGACAGGTAAGTTATTTTTATGTAAATTCAATTTAGATTTTCTGGTTAAAATATCTAACTATAATAACTAAATAAATGGTGTGTTTAGTATTAAAGAGTAATTAGAATTCAGGTTTTTTTAACGTATACGCATTTGTTAGCTTGTTAAGCTCCAAGTATGATGTGAATGCATATAAATCGATACAGTTAATACTAGCATTAGTTTGCAATTAATAGGCACACTTTATCTAGTATTACAATAAAAACATATGTTATTTTTTTATAAATTATGCAGTTATTTTAACGTTAATATACATAATATTAATTTAACCTTTTAGTATAATCCTTTAACTTAAAATACTTAATTTAAAATTAGATAGACTAACTTATTTAAATAAAACTCTGAGTCTTCCCGTGACCACGGCAGCTGCAAAGCATCCGAAACCTCGTGCCGTAGTTAAAACAATTTTCAAATAAGTTTAACTACTATACATGTCCTAAGAAGTAGTGTCAAGCGGTGGTCCCAAGATAGAACATTTGAGGATTGTCATATTATTGTCTTTCGGGCTGTTCGGCCGATGTGAGCGAGAAGAGGTTCTCGACGTTTCGCCATCACGTGTGGACGGCATCTTCAGGAGATGTTGACTCCTCAATCGCTCGAAGAATATATGTATGACTCGCGTAAACTACAGACAGTATTTAGACTTAACTATATTATTTCCAGATATGGACGCAAAATGTCATGCCTTCTCTCTCTAATAACTGAAGTCATATTCGTAGCGATATCTGCTGCGGTGACAGAATTCTGGATGTTTGCGATATGCCGTTTTCTAATAGGAGCGTCCGTCGGTGGGAGCATGCTGTGCACCTACGTAATGCTCATAGAGCTTTTGGGGAAAGCATATAGGCATTACTTGCCAGGGCTGGCAGAAATGGTGTACGTGATATGCTACCTCTTGCTACCAGTTATTGCCTACTTTTTAAGCGATTGGAAGCATTTGCAGTTAGTCACATCCCTACCGTGGGCTTTCGTCTTATTGTATTACTTCGTGATACCGGAATCTCCCAGGTGGTTGATCACGATGGGACGGAAGAAGGAAGCTACAGATATTTTAGTAAATATGGCGAAGAGGTGAGGTTTATTAGTTGTATCTTTAGCCTTGTAAAAATTAGCTTTTTTATTGTGGTGTTTCGACGTGTTGCAGACTATACTAATTTAAAACATGAGTTTTAGAAAATATACTACCAATTATATTTGGGTTTTCGACGTCGTAATTGAGTTTCGGAATTTGCTACCACGATTATTTTGTACATTTAAAATATAGACGCTAATCACAAACACATTTTTTAAACCGTTACAGTGAGTTTAGTGACTGTTCTTGATTTTACCATCTTTAACTAGTCGAGGAATGACTTAACTTCTGTAAATGCCATTATTTTATTTTTTAACGACAGTATAACAACTCGAGAACCCAAGTAACTTAATTAAATGAACTTATATACATGACATATTTATTTTATTCGTGATAATAAAACGACGTTTTATAAACATGAGATTGTAATGTAATAAGATATAAGTTTGAGTTTAATAACTTAAACTACTATTGTCTGTTTACGCGAGTAGTACACGTTTAAATAAATCTTTTCTAACGATTTAAAACGTGAAATATAATAAGTTTACTTATCATTTATTAAATTCACGGCCCGCTTTTTCGTTTCTTTAAAGGTAAGTTAATAAATCGCGTTTAAAATCGTTAATTATTTTATTCAAATGTAATATATATATTTTTACTTTCAGACAGAACATGCCAACAGAAAACATAGAAGCATTAGTGGATAAGACCTACGAGGAACTAGTCAAGAATGACGAGAATCAACACGCTACGTACATAGATTTGTTCAAGACGCCAAAAATACGGATGTACACGCTAATGACGTCATTTGTATGGATGTGTTGTTCGCTTTCTTTCTTCGGTGTTAACCAATACATAGGCCGGCTACAGGGTAATATATATTTGAACCTACTGCTATCTGCAACCAGCTTAATCCCTGGATTGATATTAGTGGTGTTGGCTTCCTACTACTTAGGCCGGAGAGTGAGTTTAATAATAAGCTTTAGTGTAGCAGCAATTTCGCTGCTACTCTTCTTGGTAATACCTAAATCGATGGGAGGTTTGATATTGGCGTTCGCGATCATCGGTTTAGTGGGTGCGCACGCGTCGTTTGTACAAGTGTATTTGCATACTTCGGAGATATTTCCGACGGTAGTGAGAAATTCGGCTATGGGCCTAGCATCTGTTTTTGCGCGGATCGGTGGGTTTATAGCGCCGTTTGTAGTGAACATCGGCACGGAATGGATCACGATAGCCATATTTAGTGTTTTGGCCTTTTGCGCCGGTTTCGTCTGTTTGTTTTTACCGGACACGAAGAACAGACAGCTGCCAAACACGATTGCGCAGACCGAAGCGCAGAATGCGGATGTGAAAAGTTAGCTGTGATTTATAAATAAATATAAGCACTTTTGTATTGTCAATGTAGACAAATGAAATACATTCAAAAGACTTAAGCTTTCTTTTATAATTTGTAGTTTATATTCACAATCCTTTTTAAATCCTAAATCCCTGTGGGGTATGGGAGAAACACATTTCTATATCCGATTTGATCATAATTGGTCAGGCTTGTGGCTTACACTAATAATTGCTTTCTTAGGATTCAAATCTAGAAATTGTGATTCCTGCATTTCTAAATAGCACGTTTAAACAATGACCTATGGAGGCGGTCGATTCGATCTTTGAAATCGACCTCATGTCCCGTGTAACAACAGGAAAGACACAATAAAACCGTCAAGACTGGATGTGCATACCTGGTGCAGTTCAGATTCCAGTCCTTCTTTGGTGGCCTGCATCGCTTCAAGGCTGGAGCGGCATTGCGCAAGAGACCGTTCCTTGGGTCCACGGAAACGTTCTATGGAGCTCAGTTCTTCTTTCATAAGACGAATGTCGGCTTTTACCTTCTCGAAGATATCTCTATGGGATAAAAACTATATATTAAACATTACCAGGACTTATCAGAAATATCTAACATATATTCTATCTTCTTGCATTATAATCGTTTAAAATACGGTATTAATGTGCTCGTTGGTCAAATATGAAATACGTAGAACTAGTTACGTGAGTTCGATCCTCGCTTGGTAGAATTACAGTACGACAGAATTTCGATATTACTACCACGCATTTAATATCCAAAATTCCAAAATTCTAGTAAGTGAGGTTCGAACCCACGACCCGTTGATTATTAGGCATTTATTGCTACCATTAAACCAACAACCTCTTGAATCTTAAAAAACGAAAAAAAATTGAAAAAATTTTCGCCTCGGGCAGGACTTGAACCGGCATCGTCAGCTTTGAAAGATGTGTTTAATTTATTAATGTTTTCAAACCTCTTGAATCTTCTTTAGAAGTGTTTTTTCAAATTAAAAACCGATATTATATTATTATATACCAATATTAGATATTTTTTTTAAATATGATACGGGCAGGCATTGAACCGGCAGCCACAGCCTTCTGTGCTATTGCTCTACCCAATGGAACTACCTTGTCCTACAGGTCATCTTGGAACAACGTCGACATTTTCAAAACATTAATATTGTTTACATGTTATTGCACATGAAGGCAAGTCCACACCTAATGTCATTTTTTAAGCTGCAAAATAAGACATTGAAACTTAATATGCGACTGTTAAGGTTGACATGACAATGCCGGAGGTGCATGTATTAATAAGCTGAAAAAATTCGACACGAGGTGTAGGACTCTACAGCACAATTGTAGAGCAACAGACGGAGCCCTGACGACCGTTCAAGTCCTGCCTGAGTCGAAATTTTTTTTAATTTTTTTTTTGGAATTTTAAACGTCGACATGTCGTAAGATACATGCACCTCTCGCGGAATGCAATTTCAACCTTAACATTTGCGCATTAAGGTTCAATATTTTATGCTTTTTAGTCAAAAAAAGTGTTGTACTCACTTAGCCTTCCCCTGTTTCGTCTCAGTCCTCTGCATCTCCGACACAATGGAGTTGATGCTGCTCTCAGTCTTGTTCAACTCCTGCCTCAGGGTGCTGAGTTCCTCGTCCAGCGCCGTTATTTGCTCCATGAGCTCCGAACGTGTCTTTTGCATTTCGAGACGCGAACGTGACTGGTTGAAATACCCACCGGTGAGTGAACCTTTCGAGGATACCTTGGAAGAAAATATTTGACATTAGAAAAAATAATATAATATATATATATAAAAATAATAAATATATATATACCACATTTTTTAATAAACTATCTTATTGAAAGTGTGAAAATAAAAAAAGAACATAAAAATTAATCTACGTGTCGTACAGTAGCAATATTAAATAATATCAAAAAAAAAAAAAAAAAAAAAAAAAAAAAACCCCCCGCGGGGGGGAAAGGGCCCCCCCCCCCCCCCAAAAAAAAAAAAAAACAAAATCCCCCCATTAACCCCCCAAAAAAAAAAAAATACCCCCATAAAACCCAGGAAAAACCGAAGGGAATTGACGATGAGTGTGGAGGACTCGGTAGCTCAATTGGTAGACAACAGCACGGAATGCTGCGAGGTCCTGCCCGAGTCGAAAATTTTTTCAATTGCATTTCGATTTTTAAATTATATTATAGTGTCTCAATAACATGTGGAAAATATTAATGCAATCAAGGGTTTTCGAATGTAGAAAATAAGTGGACATACTTTATGTAAAACACTTTTAACGGTTTAAAACACGAAATGTATTGACTTATTTACAATTTATTTTAACTGCGTTTTGCATGCTATAGAGTAGCCTCGATCACGTGGCGACTGAAGATGAAGAGTGTCCCTAATGTCAAAGTAAAAAATCTACTTTGCTAACGCCATCTGTTTCCTTGTAGTTGATATTTGGAGAAACTTTGGGGCCCTAACAATACTTAGTTCTAGTCTAGCACACCCTCCATATTCACGCCCAGCGTGACCAGGACTGCAAAATATTTCGCGTTTTAAACCGTTAAAAGTGTTTTATATAGACGTTTAATACACGCGTAGACTACGGATATTAATGCACATATTGTAAAGACTCTGTATGGCTAGGTATTTCAGCAATAAATGCTTGCTGTCATAAAAATACTGTAAAGAATAGGCACTGACCTGATCTCCTTCCAACGTGACACAATCCAGATGATATTGCTTGCCTAGTTCCGTGGCGCACTCGAGGTTCCTGCATATAAGGGTCTTGCCGAAGATATACTTCATGGCCTTGGCATATTTCGGGTCGTACTTCAACTTTTGCACCATGGCGATTGCATTCTGTAAGAGAGGGAGTAATTTATGTATAGTTTCGCATTTTCTTTAATAAGCACAACTATCTCCCTCTCTCTCGATTTTTTATTTTTTTTATAATTTCAAACTGATAGACAAAGTATCAAACTTAGCTTTTTAAGAGTATTTCACATAAATTACACTATATTATTAAAATAAATGAGACTGGCGTGAGAGTAGTCCGGGAGATCATTGCAATACCACAGCTAGTTAAACGTGTTTGCGTTAAGCGCGAGAGGACCTGGGTTAGAATCCTGGATAAACACTACTTTTGGTCGGTCAGGGCGCAGAAGTCTGATCAAAAATTTCCTTATAAGAGAAACGATCGGTGATAAAGACATAGAAATTTGTTGGCCCCAAGCCTCACAGTGTGGGAATCACATTTCACATATCTTCAATTACCCCACCTTAATAATATACGAAAGGCTTTTGTAGGCAATAATTAATTATGTACTTAAACATCTTGTTACAAGGTAAAAAAGATCAAAACCAAGTTAAAAACTTACATTATCACTTGGGTACACCATATCCCTGACTTGTAATCTATTGAGAGGCATAAAAGTGACTTCCCCAGGTAAGTTTTGCCGGTTCATTTCTTTCAAGATCTTCGTTCCCACTATATCCGACTCAACGATGTGGTGGAATAATCTGTTACCTGCTGTCACCTGAAACAAATCAAGACATTAACATAACAAAGCAGGAAATATTTTGGTCCCAAAATTAAATAAATGACTTTTTTTGGTATACTAGAAATCATAAGATCTAAATAAGCAAGCTATATACATACGATGCGATACAGTCCTTTTAATAGTTTTAGGATTATTTTAAGATAAACACATAAATCAATTAGTTTTAATAAAAATAGTTAAACTGTAGACGTAAAAAGTTTTTCCTTGTGGGGCATGGGGCGTTAAATAATTGTATTTAGCAGAATAAGTTGATCTCCTCTGTCCTGCCTAATCAAAACGATTTCTTGTTTCCCCCAGCTTAGAACATATCCTATGTATGTCTAGTGCTTAAGTTACGAAGGCGTTTATAAATCATAGTCTTCAATGTAGACATATCTGGTAACTAACCTCCACAGCTGTATAGATAGTCTTATCGCAAGTGAAGTTCTCTATAACAGGCCCGTAGTATTGAGTCGCGATTTTGGCCCATTCCCCACCTCGCTCTTGAAATGTCTCCAGCACTTTGCGTACACTGTCGCGTCCGTTTAGAATCGGCTGAAAAAATAATATAAAAGATGATAACATAGCACAAATTGGATCTTGTAAGGTAAGATTCATTATGTACAAGAGATTACATTGGTGGGATTGAATCCAAGATCACAGTGTTTTGTGCTATCGTTGAGCAGAGTACGAGGCATTGAGGACTTACCTTTCCCGCCATCGATCTCAGCGCCTGATCGGCTTTAGCCAAATCTTCTTTGAGCGAAGACAAATTTTGTGTCAAAGTTGTCTCCTTCCGCCACAGTTCGCTAAAATATTAAATAATATTACATAGTACCAGTTGTATTCATTTGTGTCAATAAACATGTATGATACAATGGTTCCATCATAAACGATCTAAAAATGAGGGGATGCGGGCATCGTTGTGGGTAACAGCTATCTATACTAATATATAAAGATAAAGAGTTTGTTTGTTTGAACGCGCTAATCTCAGGAATTACGGGTTCGTATTGAAACATTATTTTCGTGTTGGTTAAATCATTTATCGAGGAAGGTAATAGGCTATTAAACATCGCGCTGCGACTAATACAAGCGAAGATACAGCGAGAAATGTAAGAAAGACGGGGAAAGTTATTCATCTTTGTGGGTTTCTGATGCGTACGCTGCAAAAACAGTTCAAGATACACAAACAATATGTATGAGAGAATGATTCTTGTTAAAGTTATCAAAAAAAAATGTTTGACAGTATATGTTACCTTTAAGATTAACTTGCAAGAACGACGAGAAGGGACGCAACCGACGTCGTGGGTAAAGCTCATTGTTTCATGTTATGATGATGAAGGAGTTTGCAAAAACAAATTTTGATGTTTAAAATAACTATTATATGCGGACGAAGTCGCGTGCACATCTAGTTTCGCAACAAGTTTCAAAAACGATTCACACTCACTTCCTAGTACTCTGTTCTTGGTCCTTCCTCTTCTTGCACTCGTAGTACTGTTTGTTGTGCTCGTCTATCGCAACACGCTGTCTCTCCATCTCCTTAGTCAGGTCCTCTATACGTTTCTCCAGTTCTGTGAGTTTAGTCGCGTCCCGTTTGAGATCGTCACGCAGTTTCACTTCATGGTCTTTCTTATCCTTTATTTGCTTGTTTAACGATCTGTTATGATGAAGTAAATACACATATAAGTAGACAAATTGTGATAAATATATATTTTTTATAGGGCAATCCTGACCGAAATAATTTATTGTTGTCCGGAATTTTGACAATTTTGCGGTCTGTTTTTAATGACTATAGGATAAACTATATTGATAAAAAATATTAATTTAAGATGTGAACTGACATTTCCCGTTTTGAACGGTTGAAATTGTAATATTTAATGTGTACTATTAGCGTTAATAATATGCCGAATACATAGATAAACAGAATTTCTAAGATTTAAATTAAAAACCTGTTAGTATATAAAATAATAATTATATTAGTATAATGTAGTGTTGCTTACTTTAATTCCTTCTCAATCCATCTGTCTCTGTCTTGCTTAGAGGTAAACTGTGTTCCCCGTCCTTGTTTGGCATATAACTCCTGCCTCTTTTGTTGGTTCAAAGCAAGAGCACGGGTACAGTCCTCCTCGCGAGCCTTCATCTCTTCGTATTTCGGTTTCAATTCTTCTAATTCGCGTTCTTTTTCTGCTATTTGCTGCCGGAGACGCTCTAGTTCGGCTTCAGCTCGTTCCTAAATAAAATTATTACGTTTGGTTTATTATTTTATATTTGGTTTTTAGTGGTAACCTGAAAACCTTGTTCCATCTATATCTATAAATCTATAAATGTTAGCCAAGATCTTTCAAGAACCGTATAAGTATTCTACATACAGCATAATCAAGATTCTTGCTACTAAAGCGCCATCTACAACCCAAAAAACAAGTATACAAGAAAATAACTTAACAAAAATATGATTTAAGACACAAAATACATATATTATATTACAATTGATGAGTCGAAATGATCGTTTTCTGACTCATTATTGGAAGCTTTTGAAAACTGTTAAATATAGATTATTGAAATGAATTAATGAATGACTGAAATGAATTTAGATGTCTCCCAAAACCTATTATAAATATACAATTACTTATAGAGGGCCTTACCTTTGATTTATTATCTCCATCAACGTCATCGGTGAGATCCTTGATAGCCAACTCGAGTTTGGTCTTCTCCCTAAGCAACTGCTGTTGTTCAGTCGATAGGATGTCTTTCTCTTCACGAGCTGCCGCTACATCCTTGCGGGCTTCTTTTAGCTTCCTTAAATTAAAGATGTAATTAAAATATTTGTAGCATTGAAGTGTTATGCAAATATAGAAATTAAGATATGGTTTAAGACGCTGGTTTAGATAAATTATAATTTGAAACACAAACCGGTGGAAATCGAACCCGTAAATTATAGTTGTAAATTGCACATCAATACAATACCTCTGAGAATGTTGTAATGTTTAGGAAATATGTGTGGGAGAATCTTAAAAGGTCATTAACGACTAGCCCGATTATAAGAGACCAGGTGGAGGTATCAGTAATTTGTACTAGTTGTGTGTGTAGGAGTTTGTACATGGAACTGTAATTAAAGGTTTGGCTAATCTACTTATATACATTTAAAACGCTTTTGTTGTCAAGAGAATTGGAAAGTACTATCATAAGCATACCTGTTAGCCTCCCTTACGTGTTCTTGCGCCTCCCTGACTTGATCAGCGTAATGTTGCTGCTCCTTACCGCTGGTTGTGCGCAGCTTTTGTAACTAAAAATATAAATAACTTATATTAATATTTTTTCAATGTATTGTAATAGTGTTTTACAATGATACATACTTCGATAATAATATACTGATGATGTCGGTTAAATAAAATAATATACTTATCTATAAAATCTAGTTTGTCAATTAAAATGAACTATCCAATTTAATATAGAACAAGGAAACGTTCGCAATCGGGTATGTAAAAAGCTCGAATTTATAAAAGGATAAGTTAAATAAAAGGCAAAGTAGGTTACGACTTTTAGGACTTCAAATTAAACCTGATTATGATATGCTGCTCACAATAATGCCTTAAACATAATTTGTATCCTTACTTCCTCAAGTTTCCTCTTGTTCTCTCTATGCTCTGTGTCATGTATAATGAACTCCAAAACTCTGCGAGACTTATCCCACTTCTGATACTCCTTCAACTCTTCTTTTTCTTCTTCCAGCGTCTTTAGTCTCTCCTCTATGGTTTTGAGGAAGTCATTTATTTTCTCCACCTAGTAATTTAATAAATCATTACCATAAAATGTATACATATAAATAGTAAATACTAAGAACTTGGACTTAAAAGCAAATTGCGTGATTAAGCTTGACGGCAGTTCTAGATCTGGGCGGAATATCAATATTCAGGCACCTATATAATCCAAGATGTTACAAATAATTGTAAATTTATACCAAACTTGCTGAAGTATGGGATCGAACCCTTTAATTAGTCTCCATCTCATTACTATAATTAGACCACAATTTTTCAAAATTGATAAGTCAATATTACATATCGTTGTATATTAATTACTTGATATGCGAGTACTTTTATATTGCTTGTGATTGCAATTGATGGAATAGAAACATTTTGGTTTTGACTCAAAAAAATGGTGTATCTTTTACTTCTGTTATTTGGACAAATCACACAATATACTGCAATCTATGGTATATTCTATAGTTAGAGAATTGAGTACCTTCCCAACAGTCTCTTTTAAAATTGTGACAGACTCCTCCCTACGTTCATCATACACTCTGGTGCCTGCCACTTCTCTCAACAACTTCAACCTGTGAGAATCAGGAGCTATGGCCATCTGATTAATCTGTAAAGTTCACATGTCTTAAAGAATATGCTTGAATATAAAGAAGTGGTTTAATAATGTCTGTAGTTTCACGAGTAGTACACATTTAAATAAAACACTTTAATGCTTTACAATTTATTATTTTTTTATGTTAATTTAAACAATTAAATACGAACAACATCAAACAGAAGTTTAAAATAATTTAAATTAAATAAGGTTGACTTATACATATATCGCGTTTTATACCATTCAAGTGTTTAATAAAGAAGTGGTTAGTTCTAAAGACATAGTAATAAAAATTAAGTTATTCTCACATCAAATTAGTGTCATTAGTAGTGTAATTAGAGTGCCTGACACATGCCTCCATTCTATTAACAGCAAAATACTATGTATCACAAGCCAATCTTTATAACAAAAATTTTACCTTTCCTTGCTTGACAATGTAGTAAGGGTTAGAATTTGATAATCCAGCACTTTCCAACAAGTTCAAAACTTCAGAGCGTGGAACAACTTTCTTATTTAGGAAAAATTGATCTTTCTTTGATCCGATAACTCTTCTAAGGAATATTTCATCTTTCTCAATCTATAAAGAGGATAAATTTCAATGGAATACTGAAGTATGTGGCATTAGGCTATCTAGAAATGTCCCATAAAACTGTAAATCTTACACAATATATAAATTTTTAATCCATATTTACAGTATTTTTGTATTTGTATTGCATTGCATTGTTTGTATTGCATAAAGCTGAAGAGATCTTGGATATAAAATCCAAACAGAAATGAATAAATTGTTATAATCGAGCATACTGAGGAATACTGAGTTTTTTCATTGATCATGTAATTAAAGAGTAAACTACTTATACATAAATATTCATTGATTAATGTACAATTAAAATCAAAATACATACAGGTATTCTGTTGTCCGAGTTGTCAAAAATAATTTCAACAAAGGCTGAAATTACCCTGGGTCCAGTACCTTCATGTAATAGTGCCAGACGCTGTTCTGGTCTGAGATGTGAGAATTCATCACTAAGCACAAACTGAATAGCTGAAAAAAATTGTTCACTATCACTATCAAGTTATACAATATACAATCCCTGTCAAAAATATTGTTCTCCTTATCAAATTAATTATTTGGGTTTGAAATTATTATTTCAAACACTACTTACCATGGAAGAAGTTACTTTTGCCTGACCCATTACGCCCTACAACTACATTATGTCTTTTGTCAAAAGGTTCAACCACAATTTGTTCTCGATAACTTTTGAACCCTTGAATTATCACCTAAGAATAAAAAAAAGTTCAATAAACTAAATAGGTTTATATGAAGTTTGTATGTTTTGTTTGGTAAAGTTGTAAATAAGCACAAACTGATTACCTGCTTAATATGCATTTCCGAGAGCCAATTGTATCACTAGTTTGTTGCAAAATCTTGCAAAAAAAAATATAAAACGTAAAAACTAAAACGATGATAATTTTTTAAAATAATTAAAAGCTTGCGTTTAGCGTCAACGTACTTAATTTTCGACAAAAGAGCGCCATTTTCAACAACTGAGAACCGTACTATGACATTGACAATTGCATTGTGGTGTCTACAGATATATGCTGATTAGTTTGCTATAGACTAAGCTAGTGGTTCTCAAACGAAATGATCAAAGACATTTTGTTAATAAAAGGTACGATAAATCTATATAACAATTACAATTTAATCTATGTAATTCGTAAATAGAATACTGTAATAATATGTAGCACGATAAAAAGTACAACAATATAAAAGTAATTATTTTTTTCTGCCAATCAGTCACTCATAAATCTGTCGTACAAAATAAATTCAGTTTTTGTGTTAACGTAGTTTTTGTAGTAATGCATTAATATTAATAAATGCTGATTCGAATACGTTACACTTTAAATTTACAACCAAATGTTAAGCATAAGGCCAAGGCCTAAATAAGACAAAAAATCCGGTCAAACCAAAGTCGGACACAGTAAATGCGGTTCCCTAATTTTGTTATTTTTCTTTTGTTTGTATTATTATACTCACGTACTTGTAGTAAACTCAAGAACATTTGACGTTTATAAAATGTAAACGTTTAATACATTTCTTGAGCAACAAACTTATATTGCGCCTCAAACTAGTTAGGTTCCTTTTGAAATTTGTAATGAAAGCGTTTCATCCCAGTTTTACCTAATGGAACTCGAAAATAAAACCGATTATTTAAATCGCACGTTTGATTCTATAAAGCCTATTTATGTTTTATTTACCTCAACTGTAAATTAAGTAACTAATACAAAATTAAATACACAATAATATACTCCTAAGAATTTATTTGAGCATTATTGAATCCTAGAACAGGGAATAAGACGTAATCATAAATCTCGGGTCGATTAGCAAGTCGGAATGCAGAATGATTAGCCGATGGCCTCCGTAATAACAATAAAAAGCGCTGATACTTAGCTAAATACCTCTAGAGGTACAAATTCCACTCACCAATATCTCAACAAATGTTGCAGCTTAGAAAATAAGTCAAGGCGTAATATTAAACAAGCGCAGACGTGTTTTAAACTGCTGCCGAAGCACATAGGAGCGATAACGTAATATACTAATAACTAACGTATAATGAAAACTACTTTTAAGATAATTCCTGCATCGTTCTAGAGAATTGTGTCACGACGGCAGTACGGTACGGTACGGCACATTTGTAGGTAAATGATGTGCAGTGGGTTAGTGGGAAAGTTCTTGGGTTAGAATTATGGGGAATGAAGTAACTTATTTACGAATGAAATAGCACCGCCCATTTGTCGTTAAACATCGGTCGACGAAATAAATGAAGACGTGACATTAGTAAAATATATTTATGACGTCCAAATCCAAAATAGATTAGTAGCACGTCTAGCTTAGATGTTATATTATACGGCTGATGTAATGTGCCTCCCATCTTAGTTAAAACTATGTTTGTCTTTCTTCGTAAAAAAAAACGTTGCAAGCAATATTTTTAGGTATTCTAAGAACTAAAATAGTTATAACAATATTATGTACTTATAACCTTAGTTAAAAAGTTAACAAAACTAAAAAAAAGCATTCTAAAATTGATTATTATTAAAAATGTTGGCCTTTTGAATAACTGTTTATTTTAATTGTTTTGTTCATTTATATTGAAGTACAGTCTCAGTAAATATCTTTCGACTTTAATAGTGACTGTGACCCAGTCCTTGCTTATTGAAAGGAAAGTTTTTGAATTGATTGAGATTGTTTAAGACAAGCACATGATACGCGAAACGTGTTAAGTAGGTTTTCGTTGAATTCGGAACATATAATTCAACTCGACAATATTTATTTGCGATGATATCACATATTTCAATACATCGAGAGTAGGAAGATTATTAATGAGTATGATAAAGAGATATATTAAAATCAATATTTAGTAATTAATGCTTAATTGAAATTTAATTTAAAAATCAATAATGACAATAAGTTATATAACGTTTAAAAATATTAATTAGCAAGTAGACATCGACCTTATACGTGGTACGTATATAATATTATGTTCCTAATTGTATTAACGTCATAAATACAAAAATCTGTGCGCGGGGAATCCCATAATTTGAAAAATTTAAATAAAGAATGTCACCAGATCAAGTTATGGCGACGCTTACTCTTTTATTTCTATTTGGGAATTCTCGAAAAATAATATCGATTACATAATGATACGTTCTATACCTACTATATAATTATTATTGTTAATTATTATAAATAAAAATATTTCTCCTCAGATGCAGCTATTACGTATTAGTTTAAATTTTAACCTTTGCTAATGATTATATATTTTGTTTGTTTTTTACGCTAAGGTTATATTGTGATATTTTATAAAATTTTCGTCTATTGGCCAAAACATTTATTACCCAATTCAAGGTGTTAGCGTCAAAGTCAATAAAATAAGGAAAGATTTTTAACGATTACATTAATATTTTATTGCATAACAAAAATTGACCTCTTCTAATGAATTGTTATATGAGACATAAATAACAGGAACTGTTCGCGTGAAAAACGATACTGATGGCGTCAGTATAAGTTATAGTAAGTTTCCGAAACACTTAACACGTACAAATGTTATTTGCAGTACGTATATGCTAAATCTTTTAGACGCGCTAAATTATGTACCGTACTAATAAATCAATTTGTTATCTGGTGGTTACTTATTGTCGTTTTAATCTCTCGTTGTTCCACTGAAAAGTCTTTAATCTTTAAGAAGAGAAGGTTTTCTCCCACGAGACTGTTCAAATTCATGCTGATATACTGTCTCTGGTTAAACGGTTTAAACTAATATCTTTTGCGTTTTAAACATGTTAAAGTGTTTTATTTAAATTAATGCTGATATATTAAATTGGAACTGTGGCTATCTGAGTAAGTTAATCGTCGCTTTCAGAAAACGTCAAACAAGTCACTAAAACTCGTGCGCCTACCTTCTAGAACTTCGTTCTTATTTCTAATATATTCTAATCGATAAGGAATTTGAAGAGCGGAGGAAAAGAAGCACACTTACTATATTTTAAGAGAATGCAATTAATAGGTCAAATAGTATAAAATATACCCGGAATAATTCTCAATTTCGAGCTGTGGAGAAAAGATTTAGATTTTTTTTTTTGGGCCAAAATGGTCTATATATTCAAAATAACATTTGCTTTGAATGGCTAAAGCCAGTTTTGTTATCCTTCAATAGAAAAAATTCTGCGAAATTTAACGCAAACGAGCAAGGTCAAATAAATGTAGACATCGTGCTAAATGAAGCTAAGGTCTGTTGGTAGTGCAATTTGATAAGACGATATACACAGTAAATAAGACACTCATAAAATACAAACTTTTTGCCATATTTTACCTTAAAAGGTCTTGTCTGGGTTATTCAGTGAGGAAAAGGTTGGTTCGCATTTTTAACTGAATTAATGAATGTCCACTTCTGAATACACGAGTTATTTATACGAGTATCTAGTAATCTATACGAATAAATACAATGAAATTGTATATAGTCATTTTAGTGTAATCATTTATATGACTATATAAAATATGAGATCTTTAACGAGCGCGTTGGTGTGATGGTAGTAATATAATCTTATAAACAACGGGCCGTGGGCTCGATCGCCAGCAAGTGCAATTTCTAATCAGTTTATATTCACTGAAACACGTAAAAATAGTTCGACAGGGCATCTAATGCGGGTGTTATATGGGTATTTCACCTACCAGCGCACACCATTCTTGTCTGTGTCTTATAAAAAAAATATGTAAGTACAAATGTTCTGCCCCTTTCCTTACACAGGCGAAACGGTATTCGGAAAGGGGCAGCACCTTTTGTATTTATATTCCAAATCAACTTCAAGTATCTCAATTTCAAAATATACTAAATTTAAAATTACATTACATAAACGATTTATACTGAAAAGTATTTATACTAAAATGTATATTCCTATTTATCAATATGAGAGATTAAGAAAATATAAATTTCCTGAACCCATCTTCAAATGATTGCAGTAGAATATGCAAGACATTTGACTGACGTTTTAATAACTTAACTTAATTGCCAGCTGATATGAGAATTGTAAATTGTATTTCAAGTTGAAGACCTCCAAATATAATTGTATAAGGGCCTATAAGCAATTGCCTAGGAACGCATTTATCCTTCATTCCACGTGATTTCGCCGTTAAATTCAGCACTTAAGATAATGAAAATATGTCATTGTCTATACGGGCACGATAGTCGCGACGTATGAATGAACAAAATTCCTACCTTCATTCAACATTCAGTACTATTAGTTAAAATGCAGTAATGCCGGAGGTATTTCGCAATAATTTTCTATTATCAAAACATACTAACTACCTAGGTTTGGAAATTAAAACATGACTTTGTAGATAGAGGATCTTTTTTCTTCGTGCGATAAATGCAAAGAGCATATAAGAACCTCCTTTGTTTTTTAATATAGTGGAGGTTAGATGTTATATAGATGGGGTGTCTACAGTTTACGGGAGTAGTACACATTTAAATAAAACACTTTGACGGTTTTAAAACGCGATATATTAGTTAAACTTATTTGAAAATGATTTTTAACTTCGGCCCGACGTTTCCCCGTGACCACGGCTGCTGCAAGGCATCCGAAACGGCGGACCGAAATTAAAAATCATTTTCAAATAAGTTTAACTTATATATCGCGTTTTAAACCGTTAAAGTGTTTTGTTTACATACATAACATCTAAACAAAATGCGCTGTCGACCGATTTAGGCTTTGGATATCCAGTCTTCTTGGATCTTTTGTTGTTAAATAAGTAAAGTAGTAGTGGCGGTAGTCGTCAATGGCCGTGAACTACCGTGGTGGGTCGAATTTTCTATCCTACGAAAGAGCGCCTGC